AGTGCTATACTTCTGATTATTTCGAATAAGTGTCCGACCCTTTGTCCTGCAGCCAAGAGGGCAAGAATGAAACGCGCCTTGAGAGTCAAAATATTGTAGGAAAGTATGGCTAGCAAGAAGTCCAAATGATACAAGGAGTGCCATAATCCATATCCAGGTAAAGAAACCACGGAAACAACGCCGAACGAACCCCAGCCCATGAAGCGGAACGATATTAATCAAACGTCAATGTATTTTTTATCTGACACATTGACCATCAGTAATGTGTGGCCCCCCATAGGAAGCATCGAGTACCAGACATTATTTCCAGGGGGCCACTTGTTGCTGGTTGCGAACCAGGAAATGACGAGGCATTGTTAACATGCGCAGGTATCGCGGTCGTTGTCGAGATGGATGTTGATCGGGTCTGTGAAATCGCCATTGAATTCTTCTGATTCCTCTTGCGTAAGAGCAACCTTTGCAATAACTATACTCCACATTAGCAAATAAAACATCAGCAAAAATGGAATTCACACAAACCTTCGAATGCCTGCTCTACATTAATAGCTTCTTTGGCGCTCGTCTCGAAATATGGAATGTTTCCCTTAGATTGACAATACGTTGACGCTCGTTTGGTGGATATCATCCGTTTGGACTCGTCAACATCGACTTTGTTTCCAAGCACAACCTGGGACTCCGTTAGCCGATCTACCAGACCTGTCAATATTTGAACCACTTACGAATGGGAAGCTCTCAGGGTCCCTGGGACAAGCCTGAATAAGAAACTCATCCCGCCAACTATCAAGGTTCTCGAAGCTCTTGGAATTGTTGACATCGTATACCAACACGCAGCAATCTGCTCCTCGATAAAAGGCGACACCTAGTGACTGAAATCTTTCTTGTCCGGCAGTGTCCCAGAGCTGAAATTTAGTTAGTAGAGGCAGGGGCGGCTTCAGGCTGGCAGAGAGGATACCTGCATAGTAACCAATCGATCGTCAACTAGAACTTCCTTCGTCAGGTAGTCCGCGCCGATGGTAGCTTTGTAACTAGCACTATATTTCTTGTTTACCTATTCAACAACAGAGTATAAGTATCACCCAGGCCGCTGTGCGATACGGAAAGGTACCGACATATTGGTTCATAAGACTAGTTTTGCCGACACCGCTATCACCGAGGATGATAACCTAAAACATGGAGAAGCATTAGCGAAAATACGAATAACAACCAGTTACAGAGGGTATACTAACCTTCAGAAGGACCTTCTTCCGCGTTGCCATGACTGTAATGAAAGTATGAGTGGACGAGAATGAGGTTTGACTGCCACTCTGGTGGGCGGCTTGGGGACGGGAATCGTTTTATGGACACCGATGTTCTGGAGATACAGGTCAAGAAAGGTGGACCGCAATACAATATAGCAACATATAGTGTTCAGGTGGAAATATGATAGTTCAGGCAATAAAAGAGGAGCCACTTGCGACTGCAAAGGTGGTTGGTGGATGCGGAGGTGGATGGTCAGATGGAGAGAGCTTTGGGGGAGTAACTTGTGAGGTGACCGCTGACCAGGTCTCAACCATGCATCATCGTTGCCAAGACATGCCAACCAGCGCCAGCCATCACCCTCTCCAAAACGACAAAATATTAGGTTGACAATATCTTCACAAAGAGGAATTGACTGCAGACCTTGGAGGACAGAGCAGTTCTATTTATGATCCACCCATGTAGTAAATAGAGCTCATGCCTCCGCTCACCCACTCCAAACCTCTCCAGGAGCACTCAATGCCCAGCTGACCTTTCAAGACTTCGATCCCATACCGGGGTAGTCGAAGATCATTGACCTACCGCGTTGTCTTCTTGTTGTTGACCTTCAAGAGAGAGAGACAGATAAACGCCATTAATTACGATGTCCAATTGGAGGGAAGAGTACTATACCGCCCTTGGAGTCCGCGATGAGCGGGAAAAAGCGAATGAGTCGCTCTATGATGCCTGTATGATAATTACTCCAGGCTGGGGTTCTATGTGAGTCTCTTTCAAAGAAGATTTGCTCACCACCAGTCCCTAGATACCCGCCTTGCCGACCGCACCAGCAAACTAGAAACTTCCAATTCTCTCCCTCCCACTCCTACGATCCCAAATCCGCCGCAATCCCCCTCCACAGCCACTCCTAAGAAACTAGGCAGGCGTGACACACCTCCTATACAGCCTCCAAGTGTTCCCGATGCTTTGGCTGCCGCGCGCAAGGACCTTGCTGAGGCGCAACGTTCGCGCACAGAGCTCCTAGTCCGATTAAAAAGGACAACAGAGGACCTGGAAAACGCAAAGAAGAAGGCCACTGTCGATAACAAGAAGATTTTGGATCTATCAGTGGAACGAACACAGTTGCAGCAGCGCCTCAGGGATAGAGACGAAGAACTTCGAGGAAAGGCGAAGCTATTGGATGTAAGATGTCCCCTTCGCCCTTTTTTGTGTCCGCGCAGAGGGCATCCTTCAGACTCTCTCTCTCTGACTATTCAACTCCTTTGGGCGGAAATATTAGGATGTCCAAGATGAACTCGTATCACTTAATTTGCAATTTAATATGTCAGAAGACCGAGCAAAAAAGTTGGAAAAGGAGAATAAAGAACTAATCGACCGGTGGATGGCGAGAATGGGCCAGGAAGCCGAAGCCATGAATAAAGCGTCGAAATTCTCATGAATATCCTTAAGACGATTGAATGTCATGATGAGTATCATGCAATGTACTAGCGTTATGTTCCTAATGACTTTATGGAAATAAACATTAGTCGATCACAACATCATACATTCGCTGTAGCAGGGATTTCCACCCCTCATTCTCAGCAGCGATAGCAACATGAAGCGGTGATCCGGGTATCTCATAATAATGTCGTCTAATTACATATCCCAGGTCATCCATTTCGCCAAAACCAATTTAATACCCTCAAAGAGAGATCCAACCTTGCTCAATCCAAGCCTGTAAAACACATCTAGCCGGGTGTAATAGGGTATCCCTCGCTCTATACGCATATATCCAAAAGAAAGTTGAAAAAGGAGGAACGAGTACTATAATGCAAACTAGAAAAGCCACCAACAAACATGATCAGCCAAAAAACACTTGTTCTTTCACGTCGATGACTCTAAAAAGGCTTTCAGTCGGGAACTATCCTTGGTTGCAATAAAATATGTTCCTGCGGCATTGGTCCAGCTGACACTGTCAGACCAGTACTGCTTTTGCTTGACCGAAAGCAGATTAATAGGCGAATTCAAATTCCTAGATTGTATCCGATGTCCCGCAGGAACAAAGGACTTGAGCGATACAATCTGGCAGCCTTCTTTCATATCGAGGAAGTAGTTTACCAATTTGTGGTTTAATTCTGGGGTGAAGGCTTGGTTGTTGATAAGAACCACGTCGGCCTTCTGGAGAATTTTGCCAACGCTATCAACTTCGAGAAAATCACCTCTTTTCAGGTGTGTCTGGCCAGGTTGCAGACCCCACAGACGGCAACGGGTTTTGAATTCCTTTTCTTGGAGTTCTGCCAGGTCACAGGCGTTTTGCATCATCTCACAGCCCCAGCTCTCACATCCGATTTCCAAAGCTGCCTGAAGAACGACATTTCCAACTCCCGACCCTAAGTCGACGAATACTTGATCTGACTTCAAACGGGTTTCGGCGAAAATCTTTGAGACAAGCCGCGGCAATAATTCACCATAAACGTTGTCAGAGCCGTTCTCATATTGGCGCAGAGAATCTACTCGAGGCGAAACCGTCCGCGAATACACCTGTGTCAAGATCCTCTCGACTAATGGAAGCGCCAACGCGTGTTTAGAATCCAAATGTCTAGAAATCGATCCGTCCTGGTGAAGTCTTTGGATAGTTTCATTGTAGCTTTTGACTCCATCTAAAAAGTCCGTTAAAGACGTATTGCTCAACGCACGACGCAAGCGTCGTAGCAGACCATTCGATTCGTCTTCAAAAAGCGCTAGGTGTTCTTCGGAAATGTAGTTCTGCGAGACAATTTCTAACACCTGGACAATATCGTCAAGGGGTTTGAATCCATCGTTGTCACGAGGCACTACCAACTGATATCTGCAAAATTTCAAGTTTAGAAAACCAGATACAAATGAAACACATGCCAGCTCTAGTTAAACCAACCTCTCTTTCTGTGGAGCTCCAGGATATTGTAACTCCACAATGATTGGACCATCCTCGATCCCGAAGGCATTATTAAAACCTAGAGATTTTTTAGACGAAATAATATCTGCAGCATGTATCATATCAAATGCGGCTTCTCCATCGGAAAATGCATCTGTATCCCGAACGCGACGGTGTAAATCCGGCTCAACGCTGGAGCTAACCCTTGCCCTCTTGGTTATCCGAAGGTCTAGAGACACATCCGTATCGCTCTCCTCGCTACTACCGAAAAGAGTTGGCTCAATAGTGTTCCTTTTGCGCGAAGGCGGCCTCGATCTCGGTTGAGGATGACGTGCAGGCTTGCTTGCGGAGCTTGCGGATCTGCGGGCTGCAACGGGTTTTGAGACAGTATCTAGACGCCGTTGCGGCTTCGCAATCGAGGATGAAGACGAGGAGGATACCACTTTAGATGGTTTGCGCTCTACTTTGCGAATCTGGACCTTTTGCGCCTGGATCGCCCCAACACCTTTCTTCTGGAGATGATCAAAGAAGCTCATTTCTAAAGCCGGACAGTTCTAAGCCAAACGAGGGTAAGCAGAGACAATATAAAAAGTACGAAAAAGAATGGAGATGAATTAACAAGATAAGAAATGATGAAAAAGGAATGTATGTAGGTGAGTCCAAAAAAGACGAAGGCAGAAAATTACTGATAATACTCAGTAGATGAGAAGGAAACGCTCGAGCCGCAAAAACTGCGGCGCAGATCCGTTTATGAGCCAAGACCTCTAGCGCCAAAGCCCCAATCCCGGTGCCAAGACAACGTGGGTACTCCGAACAAACGAACTCGGTAGGACATGCGCCAGTGCTCAGACCATCAGCCACTCCTGGATTGAAGCTAAAAATATTCTGTATCATTCTGGGAAAAACTTAGAATGTCCAAGGATACCAAAACCAAAGGGAATAATTATAGAACATTGTCTTAAGCAGAACATTAAAGGGTATCAAAGCCTGCTATTTAAAAGGTAGCCCATCATTCTAAAAATGCCACGCAGCTCGCCCATGTAAATACATCTTGTTTCCGAAGAATACGGAGAGTCGCCAGCGTCATCAGGAGACCATTGAACACCCCACAACCAATACGGAGTACGTAGATAGCGTTCATATATCCCAATAGCAATGCAAAAATATGGGATGAGGGGGAAGGAATTTTTTGCCATATCGCAATGCTGAAAAAATACATGCGCGCAGTAAATCGAGTGTTCCTTGAGCGAGGAACTGACGGGGCTGATATGAAAGCTTCACCAACAAGGTGCGGAGTAGAGAGTATGGTTCATCGCATTTCCAGGGAAGAGTCTGGAACATCTGAACTAGAGGGTTGACAGCGCGGCGCTCCGAGAGCTCTTGTCAACACAAATTTCAACGAGCCGAGCCATTTCCCAAGGGCAGCTTCGTCGAGAGCGCAAAACCTATACCTAGTGTCTTCGGTGATAATTTGGAAGCAGAACACTTTGGATCGGGAAATCGGGTCGATATCGGCGGCATCGATCACCTCGTCAATGGAAATTATCTTCATTGCCGAATACTCCTGTTCATTCTTATAGAATGCTAGTTTGCCCACCCGAAGAACAACCCAAAACTTTTTCCACTGCCGAACCCATTTCTTGTTTCTGAGATACAAGAGATATCCATTGAATATCACACGCTCCGGGTGAATATTTGTTGATTCAAATTCACTATTTAAAGGGCTATGGCTGTCAATTGATGGTTGGGCGTCGGCATGGCCTGTTGGCGATATTGCTGAATGACGCGTCTTTGGCCTCCGAGGAGCTGTGGAGTAATTCGAGGACGACGTCATGCCGTTGCCGGGCACCTCAAGGAAATTTGATCTTCCGGATGCTGTGGTGCAATGTGACGAGGCCAAAGTGTTGTCGCCTTTGTATACCTCATTGTCCGACATCTCCCATCCACTCTCGTCCCCGTCCATGGCTGGTGATCCTCTTCCCACGAACGCGATCCGATGTTAAGAATATATTAGGGTAATTTGACAGGGTATTCAAAGTGAATTTAACGCGTTCAGCTCGGAAACCCAGTTTGCGATGGCGCCTAAAATCCGTATCTGTTCTTAGGCGGAGATATTTCCTAGCTGGTTTTGGGGGCCTTGATCCAGGGGCTTTTTATGTGCAGTGGTAAAAGCAGCCAACTATCAAATTTGTTATAAGGAGTCAAGCTTCGTTCGTGACAACCATAACCATCTTGAAGATATTTTGAAGGTTTGGGGTATGGTTATATTAAAGAACAAAGACATAGTACTCTGTGAAGAGAAATTAATATTTACTTCGTAGCTAGTATGGAGTGGTTGAGCTATGTATTAACTTGTTAAGGGTCATAACCAGCTGCTTCAAAATTTGTCACCACCAACTAACCACGCATTTCATTCAACCTGAGTTGGTATTTCCTTGTACCTGTAAATTCACCAAAGCATGCATGTATGTACATACATGCATACAATTGACGAGTACGGAGTACAGGCACTTCATAATTTATCAAACTGCCAAGTATTTAGTTTTAGCAGTGCGAAGATTTTAAACCAAGATCTGAAGTGTTCTTAGAAGCTAGTGAAAGACTCTTTACTGGCAATGATACGATCTCTCTCCTTAACCGACACGACTACCAAATCTGGACTGGTCAACAGGGTGGCTGGTTAGTTGTATTTCGTATGTTATTATTTTCCAGTGTTGAGAGCAATTCCCACAACCATCAGTGCTATAGCAATTTCATCTTCATGGCTAAACATTATAAGGTTGTGAGAAATATCATCAAACATGAAATTCAATCTGAACAACTCATATTGCTCCCATCTGCGATACATATTCCCCCAAAAATAGTACCCTCAGTCTCGTACGGGTCTAAGAACTTGGGTATCCAAACATTACGCCACTCTCCCTCATAATGTGATGTGTACAGAGCCTTGCAATACTCCCAGAATTCTGGGTACCCACCAGCATGGGCCCAATCAATGAGAGCAATAATACGCGGGGGACGTGTTGGCGAGATTAAAATGTTACCATGATGCAAGTCCCCATGAGTCAGCTTGATGGTTCCATTGTCTGGCAAGTAGTCACGATAGGGGTCCCGATATTTGCGTGATTCAGGAAGCCAGTGCTGAGGCAGTGAAGAGAACCAGTCGTTGAATTTTCTCTCATTTTTAAAAGGTCCCTTCCAGGGCATAGTTTCAAATACATAGTCATGTAAATGTTGACGAGCGATGGATCCTACAAGTATCAGCACAACAGTTTCATGAAATAGTGCGAGGCATGCATACCAATAAATGGATCCTTTGGATCTTGTTCAACCTGGCGGAGTGAGGAAACGATCACCTGAAGCTGATCACAGATTGAGGCCTTCTCAGCTTCACTTAGAGAATCCCATCGATCATGCAATGTGTCTCCTCGAATAAGCTCCATGTATATAAATACACAGCCGTTGTGAACTTTCCAGCCATACACCTCTGGGACAGGTATCTTGTCACAGAAGGTCTTTCGAATCATGCGTAGGCATAGGGCTTCTTCAATCTCCACAGCTGAACCAAACTTGACAAGAAGGTTGAGATGATCAAACTTAACCGGGGCGGGCGGTGGATCAGTTTTGAAGTCTTTTGAGAGGGCGATGACTTCTATGGGAGTGGGCAACCCCCTTTTTTGGCCTGCCTTGGTCGCGAAAAAGGAGGAGTCTAGAAAATTTACCTCCTTCTAGGCCGGGTCGGGCTTCGGTAGGGGTTGAATTCGTAGTTTAGCGGGCATGTTGATCAAGTTTGTCAATGATTCTTGTGGAATACTAGAGTTGAGGGAATCGAGGGAAGTATGCAGTTAACTTGCAGATGTGTTGTTTGAGTCGAGGATGGGGAGCTACAGGTTCATCCGTACGGTAGGGAACACGGCGCTTTAGCACTGACATACTCTGTAGTTGACCAGTGAATTTCACCAGTAATTAATAATAGTCCACTCATCTCACTGAATATATCCTACAAGCCTTACAATAACCATCTTTCTATTTCTGTTTTCAAAATCAACGGCCATAAGGAGTGAAGAGATAGCAGGAAACAGTTGGATTCATTCAGCTCTGTCCTCTGTAACCTGACAACACTAAAATCCACCTCTCTGCATACGAAACATCTTGGCTCCAGCTCATCTTCGGAGAATTCACAATTCCGCCATAATTGCCAATGCGGTAATGCCTAATTGACGATAAGCTCCAGAGAGCAACCAGTAATAAACTCCGGGGACCATCGAAGGAGATGCAAACCATACAAGATAGAGCATAACATGTGAGTTTACCACTGATCATTGCATGAGCATGATGAAGGTATCTAATTCACATCAGCTCTCCAGCAGCCGGGCGGTCACCATTGGAGATGCCATACTTCTCCCTGAGGCATTTGTCTCGGCAAGGAATCTTGGTATATCGCTGTCTTCCTCCAGCTTCCAGACAGCAAGCTGGTCTCCGCTCTCAAGCAGTTTTCATGCAACTCGTTGGCCACCTCGGGGGCTGTGAATAGGACAACCACACGCCAATCTTACACATGCCCCTTTGTCGACCGTTATCTGACTATGACATCAGAAATAACAGACGACGATTACTGCTTGCTTGCCAAGTCACATTCCTGAGTCTCAGCTCCCCAGCTCTTCTCAACTCAAAAACGATGTTCCCTTGGCCCTGAACCTGCCATCAAAAATTGCCCGATCCGAATTTCCGACATAAGCCGGAATTAGGGTTGCTGCCGACGGGCCGGTTTTACAGAGTAATTATGGAGAGAGTGGGTGGGTTGCCGTCAGTTGTCTGGGTACGGATGACTCCGTATTGAAATATTGAGTGCTCACGAGTGTGTAGGTCCGCCGCAAATCTACAGCCTTCTACGTGAGGTTAAATGCTGATGCTGTGATTGCAAAGGAAGAGATGAAGTGAACATTCAAATCCACTGCACGGAGTATGTCCGTATTGAATTTGGAAGAGAGCACACTCAAAAGCGAAGGAGTCTGCTTGTCGTGAGCGGTATACATCCTGCCATCATCCTGCCAAATTCATGTGGGCCGTAGAATGGAGGATGCTCAGTCAGTTCCAAGTTGGGATGGTCGAGTTGGTGTTGATATTGATGTTGCAGGTCCCGGTTACCAGTATGTTGCCCAAGAACCAAGGTATTCCATGTTTGCTCTGTTTGCGTCCATCAAGCCCCCAACAAAGCCCACTAAAACAGCTTACGCGTTTTTGCTTAGCTATCCCACTCTTTCGCCTGCTGATCCGACTCTAATAAAACTCCGCTTCAGTCGCTGGCTGGAAAAATGATGGAGGAATGCAGGGTGAGCCTATTATGCAGCTAAATAACACAAATACGGGCGTTGTTGAGAATTCAGGAGGCCTTCGTCGCACAGTAAAGTAATCCAGTATCAATCTCAAGGAGGAAGAGTATCTGTACTCTGTACGGAGTAGAACAGAGGAAATAACTCGTGCTGAGAAAGGAAGACAGAAAGTCAGAACCTTGGTCAAAATTTTGGATGGCAAAATTCTAGACTCTTTTTGGTTGGCCGAGATTTGATATCTGCGATCGGGGGGAGGTTTTCTGTTGGCGGACTTTCGTCCCTTGTGGTTAGAATCAGTCTTGGCACTGTTTCTCCTGTGAAGGTTCATCTGCAAGAAAGCCGACGAGGAGAAAAAAAGCCTCAGACCTCCCGTCTTTTCGCCGGAATCAACCAATATCACCTTTCTCGGTCTTGTTTCTGATCCATGATCATTGCTGGGCAATCTGTTTTCCTTTCGGTGGTCGGATTTCGGTCCATTGGATGACTGTCGTCGGCAGTGATCCTGGCAGAGCAAGAGGTTTCCCCAGATCGAGCCTTTCGACTGTGAAAGCGAAGCCGATTTTCACTCCCTAGTCGCTCGTTACGCCTAACGCCCTGCCAACCTCACCCTTCTACGACGATTTTGGTCCTCTCTGTGGCCCAGGTCCCCCAATCTGTCGCTTTTATCGTGGCCCTGCAACAAGCGACACTACGTTCTCCCAATAAGGGGCCCCCGGCCGCCGCGATCCACCTTCCTTGACTAACGAGGATTGAAGGATACAACAATCACGTCACTTCGATGGGCATCATACATCGACTCGCAAAGCGAGTATCATACTTGCCCGTGGCGGCATCCCTCGACAATGCTCTGAGCGAGAAGGGGACCATAATACCACGTTTTGCTTTCTTCAGACGGCGGATACGTTTAAGAAGAAACTCCGCCATCTCAATTCCCTTAGGATTTGTTTTATTATTTCCATGTATTGTAATTGTTCTTATTGTTCTTCTCATCGTCACCCATCCCTCTTCCTCGGGTGGAATCCTCGTGCCAGCTGGCACTCCTCCGACGATAAGGTGAGTTTCCTTCCCCGTTACGCTTCCCACGCCCTTTGCAGTGCATCGCAGTTGACCTGGGCGATCAAATCTATAGAAAAATCAGCGAGAAGTATGACAAAGTATTCGCAACCGGCTGCCTCGAACTTGATACCTCGACCCCCAGGGCCAACGCAGCTTTTGTCGTCTTGGCCCGAAATAAGGAGATAGATGGCGTGATACAATCCATGAAATCGATCGAGAGGCATTTCAATCGATTCTACAATTATCCTTATGTGTTCTTAAACGACGGCGATTTCGATGAGGATTTCAAATCCACAGTGAGAAATTATACCGGTGCTTCGGTCGAATTCGGTAAAATCGACTCGACCATGTGGGGTTATCCCGACTGGATAGATCATGAAGTGGCAAAGGAAGGAATCCGCAAACAAGGTGATGCAGCTATCATGTATGGCGGATTGGAGAGTTACCACCACATGTGCCGCTTTTATTCAGGGTAAGCTTCGCATCGGTCAGTGCCAAGTGAAGGTCGCTGACAGCAAAATCCAGGTTCTTCTATAAGCATCCTCTGCTCATGAACTATGAGTGGTACTGGCGCCTGGAACCCGATATCAAATATTTCTGTGACATTACCTAGTATGATCTCCTTTCCCTCCTACCTCTCAGAGATGCTAATTAGGTTCACAGTGATCCCTTCCTTAAGATGATCGAGCACAACAAAACTTACGGCTTTACCATTGCTGTTAAGGAGCTCCGAGAGACCGTACCGAATATTTTCCGCTATGCATCTGCCTACAAGCGAATGAATAATTTGACATCTAAAGGACTCTGGGAAATGTTCTTGGAAGAGCCAGTGGAAACCCAACAAAAGCCAAAGGAGGGAAAACCTGGTGAAAATCCACTACCAGATGAACTCCTACAAACAACGCCCGGCGATAGCGGCATCCCGGAGGTTAGTCCCGAGGCCATGGAGGGCGAAGAGTACAACATGTGCCATTTCTGGAGTAACTTTGAAATTGCTCGACTTGACTGGTTCCGTAGTAAAGAGTACGAAGATTTCTTTACGATGATGGACCGCAGCGGAGGTTTCTGGATGGAAAGGGTAAGCAGAGATGTGCCACCTTTCCCACTTCTAAATCTTGCTAACTGTCATTAGTGGGGTGATGCTCCCATACATTCTCTTGCTGCCGGTGCGCTCTTGTCACCTAGCGACATCCATTACTTCAGAGATTTCGGATACCGACATACAACGATTCAGCACTGTCCAGCAAATGCTCCAGCCCGCCAGCGCGATCGTATTCCGTGGTTGGAAATGACGACTGAAGACGAAAAGAAGCGTCAAGAAGAGGACGAGTATTGGGACACTCCAGATCCTCCAAAGGAAAATGGGGTCGGCTGCAGATGCAGATGTGATACTGACATCGTTGATGTCGAAGGCAAGCAAGGTAGCTGCTTGGCCGAATGGGTTAAAGTAGCCGGAGGATGGGCATCTCCTTAACGACTCGATTCAGCGCGCATTTCCGTACGTTTTCTTTAGCGCTCCTCCGTATGGTCCTCGAAAGTTGTTACAGAGCGTTCAATACCTATACCTCTATCTGGCACTTCGAAGCCTATATTCAGTTTATTCCTGCATTTCCTGTTGGCCATGGGATAATCGGAAACACGGCGTTTCACGGGGGATAATTCATCAACCTTCTCAATTCAAAAACAACACTATACTTCCGAATTTTTATGGTGCCTAATTACGCTTCTATTCTTTTGGATGAACATAAAATCCACTTTTCTTCATAACTCTGTTTTAACACCCTCCATCCCTGTCCACAGATATGCGTCGTGCTTGAGTGTTATCGGTATAGGCTTTCCCAAAAAGATATGCCATACCCAAACAACAACGGTTAATCCAACCAACGTTGCGCTATCAAGCTTCGGTGTCACCAAAGTGAATCACAGAGGCAAAATTGCTTGTGACAAGATGCACCTTTTATGTTTTCTCCTATTCGTATATCCATGCCCCATCTCCATCCGCAGTGGTCCTCTAGTTACACTACATCCAGATGCTGGAATGATTCGAAAATCCTTGCTGAAGGCATGTACAACATCCTGCTTATGAAATAACTTTGTACCGTGTAGACCATCCTATTCCATTTACATTTATAATATTCTTCTCACCCTCTTTACCTTTTTCGGTGTGTACATAGGATGGTTTGACTCTTTTTTTCCTTTTTCGATTCATGTGTTCTTCCGCAGCATGTTTATATTCAGGGAGAAAGGTCCGAGCGGACTCTAGGCTTCTGTTAACTTGCTATTTCTGCTTACGAGGTAAGGTACATGTCTTTCGTGGGTTGATGAAGGAGCTGCTCAGACGATGAGCTCTCACTACTTGCCCATTGTCTAATATTGCAAATGAACCATCAGGCGAAAATCTTCATCAAACAAAAGATATGTCTGGCATTTGACATTTAACATAAGTGATTGGTAAACTCTGGAAAACGAATATCCGCTCCACATGATGGAAGCTTTATACCCGTCTCTCCATGCGCTCTCAATATCAACATTGTTGAGGTTGGAGATATTTCCAAACAAGCCTGGACCAAAAAAGCTAGAGTCATGATATCATCCGTGCGCATACAGCCCGCCTTTGAAAGAGTGGAACATGCTTTCAGGGACATTTCCATCGACAATTTACTCCATATTCTGTATCTTTTCCGGCTGAATGCGGTACTCTGCTATTGATAACCCATTGCTCGTACTCCAGGGAATCAAGTAAATATCCGCTCCCTGATGGTGCTTTGATGAGCTGAAATCACATAGCAGGCTGAAGTTGCATTTTGTGGGAGATCTGCCAGCGCCATTGGTTGATGAGCCTTAGGCAGCGGTTCTGCCTAAGTATTGACGCGAAGCTTAACCAATGTTTTAACCCCCCAGCATCCGACCCCACCTGTGAACTCGACTCGCCCATCAACTGAGGTCGTGCCAGCTCATCGTTTCAACCCTCAGCTTCGGTATTCAAGGAGCTCGGGCAGATGTGATGACCTTCTAAGAACGCTACTTCATATGCCTTGCCAGACAAGGGGCTGCTGCGGCGTGCCAACAAACTAATCGGCATCCAGATCATTGCTTCGAAACCCCACTCTTTCGAAATACAGCTCCGCCTGCTCCCGTACCCAATCTAGATCAGGAGTAACGACCGACCGCTTCAACGCACTATACCTCTTGCTTTCTACCGGTGCCTTTCTCCCTTCCTCGTGACAAAGGTCTACTCAACCTTTCTTTTCTGCATCTTCCAGGGGCTGCGGTGCCCCGACCTAAACTTGACGCCGCCGCCGTCAAGCTTATACATCTTGTAAGGAGTACCTCTGACCTCAACCTCTTGATATTCCAGCAGACGAGTGAATGATAGCTAATGCCCTGCTTCCAGATGTAATTTGAAGGGCTTGCTCTCCTTCAACAAACCCCATCGCCTCTCTATCGAACGGCTCTCTCATCGTCGTCCTCGCCGGACACTTGAATCCGACAATACGATGACGTCAGCACCCTCTAATCGACCCGCAAGCTCCCTGAGCGAGAGCTGGGCCACGCTCAGCAATTCAGACGCGCATTCCGAAGATGAATGGCGTTCGGAGCATACAGATAATATGTCCCTAGTCGGCCATAGTGTCGCGGACGATGTTGCAAGTCTCGGCAGCCGGGACCTGGAGAGTGATATCGACAGCGAGGACACCGAGAGTCACTGCTCTGAATCCCGGCCTTTCCTACCACCTATCTATCGCGAGGCTGAAAATAACTTTGAAAATGAACACAAAATGCAAGCTAGTTTTATGTCGACGTCTGAATCAATTGTATTCGATGAACCGGATTATTGGCCATCTACGGAAGTTGTGGAATTGAAGCACACCGTCCAGGTACTTGATAAAGCCGACGCTTTGCGTTTCGGCGTTCCCTTCGATATCGGGCAGGGAGACCTTGCCATCTCCGTTCAGCAATCAGTTTCCAAAAAGCCCATTGATGTGGAAAAGCCATTCCGAGTGCTTTACATTGGGAATCCAATGTTCAAGTCTAACGTTCTGGACAAACTTGGAGACGTACTAGTTACTAGCCCTAAGAATAGTGTGTATGCTGGCTCTGCAAATTCATCACGGTTCCATGTTGTCCCAGCTTCTTTTGGCCCAGATGCCACCCCAAATTATGCCGAATTACTCCCCATCCACGTTCAGCTTGTCGTGGAGGAAGCCGTTTCCGCCGAGGCGTTAGCTGGCCCGAGAAATGCTGACAGTATTGGCCTTTCTTTCAAGGACAGAGAGCCGGTCATATCCACAAGGACAGAGTCTGGCTTTCAGTTAATTTCTGCTTCGAGTTGGGTTGCGCCAGATATTACCATTTTCTTCGTGAGAGAAACTGAAGATATCTCAACATATGCCACGCGCAATCTCGCCTTCACGTTCATGGAAAGGCATAACATACCTGCAATGGTGATCTCCGAATCTCCGCTTTGGGATGGCCATGATTCTTCAATCTCTATTGATCCGCGAACCCTGCATATCTGCCTAGAATCGCGCGATCCAGGCAGTGGCAGCTCCAAGGTCGTGGGTAGATATCCCATAGACCTAGTCACCTTTGAGAATATTTCACCCGCGCAACTTAATCGAAACTTGGCGTCCCTTGCCGGAATTCACCCCAAGGAACAAGCGAAGCTAGTCTCTCTTCGGCGATATACGAACCAAGACGGGAGAATGTCTGACATTGCGAAATATGGGACAGGCTCAAATTGTTATCATTTCTGGAAAGATGGGTGCAATTTAAGAACCATGAATGGCCGCATCCTAGGGTTGATTATTGGGGTTGCTATGATATGTCTCTGCTGCACTGGATTAGGAACACTACTCTTTGCTCTATTTAAGTATTTTGCCGGATTCGCCAATGTCTCTGTTTCCATTGCACATGGAAAGATTTCGGCCGGCTCCCACACGACACTAATTCCAAGCACTAAATCGAATTCAATGGGAACATCACTGCTACCGAAATCGAATGCGGTGGTTCTCTCCAGTTGCGCGAAAGACAAGTCTCTGAGTGTCAATGATGATATCCTGAAATTGACCCACTCGAACGTTCAGAAACCAAATAACACGGACAAGTTTCAGGTATATGTCGTGGGTGATTGCCATGTGATCATCAAAGTACCAACTCGCATATCATCGATGAGAAAGGTTCCAAAATTCGAAGTCAAAATCACAAAGGCGGATACAAAATTGGATTTCCACCTTTCAAAGCTTTTCGATAATGTATATACATTACGACTGGCCAGAGAGGATGCCCACGGGGTTATGAACGTCACAATCTCAGCGAAAGCGAAGCCGCTTGTAGAACAAATCACCGAGATCGACTTCGGTACTCCATGGCTTAAAATAGCAAGCTGGAAAAAGGCAGCTCAATCTCTTTCGTATCAGCTAAGGAACGACTTGAGTGCTGCTCAGGCCGGGATTTCCGAGGCGTATTATCGAGTCTTCTTTGACCTGCAGTCCGTGAGCGACACTTTCAGAGCAGAAAGCGGCTTTGGTCCTCAAGCCTCAATCAAGCAAATCCTTAAGGCGGCATGCGAGACTGTGAGCAAGGCAAAACGGTATTCTGAAGAGATCCAAAAAGAGTCATCAGAGCTGATGAAGGAGTCTTCACGGCTCTTACGAGAGCAAGCGCAGATCATTGCCAAAGAAACCACAGAGATTGCCCACGGGATGTTTTCGAAAGTGCAGCAGCACGCAAAGCGAGCGCGCCAGTCAGCACTGAATGTGGATCTCACGCAGCTAAAGCGCACAGCCGAAAGAGCTACCAAGTCGCAGTCCCTGGCTGCAGCGCAGAAGCAGGCGTTCCATTTGGCTCGAGATGCTCGACTTGGATGGAGAAAGCCGCAAGAGTCTTGTAATGGAAAATCATGTTCTGCCAAAGGGATTAAGCAGAGGTAGAGTCTACTATATTCTCTTCTCCTGTGTTTGCTCTTTTCCTCTTCTCATTCTTGTTGATATTTGTTTTCGTGTATGAGACATCTCAAGGACAGGTGGTGTTTGGTTTGCAGGTTTGGCGCAAATATGCCAATCATGATAATTATTTCTCCAAGGAAATGTAGTTATTAGTTCACCCTTCTCCTTGGTAGAAATGCCTCTTATTTTCTCGCATATCAGCCTTCTTGACATTCAAGGTGAATCAAGGAATTGATCAGGAATCATGGTGGTGGGAATTTCTTGTATCTTGTGCTCTGTATGCAGACAGAATTAATATCTCATTGGGAATTGATACTTTAAGACCATTCTAGAGGTGAAAGAAAGGGAGTTCTCCATGTTTGAAGAGCGTGAGAAGAATATATCCCAAACAATCGTGTGGAGCTTGTCTTGCAAGATTGGGCGCTAACTAAGTAGTGCACCACCATTATCAGCCCACATTTTCTCCCCTTGACCTTTAATGCCAAACAACCCGATCATCAAGTAATAGAGGTCTTGCTATCTAGATCCCTTTACCCCAGATAGTCTCCCATTTACATTGCCCTTTTCTACATTTTCTTTGCCCTCAACAACACATAGCACCGCTCACGATGTCTGACACCGAGACAAAACCCGACCCCACCACCACTGCCCCTCCCGAAGAGAAGAAGGAAGAGGTCCCTGCCACCACAGAACCTGAGGCCGAAACCAAGCAAGGAGAGACCACAGACAAACCTGCTGCTGAGCAGGAGGCGAAGCCTGTCACCTCTGACAGTGTGTTCTCGATGTTTGGTGGGGGTCCCAAGAAGGAAAAGAAAGAAGCAGCCGAGGATGATCAAGCCGAACCATCTGGATCTTCAAAGAAGAAGGAGAGCGAAGAAGCTGTAAGCGGCTGCTCAGCTTTGTGGAATTTTGCCGTCTTTGATAGGAGATTGTTTCTCCGACCGCTGAATCATTTTCTATTTCCTTTTATTTTTTTCCTTTTATTTTTTTTTTGCTTTTCTTCTTTTCCCTCCCCGCGGTCGATCTCTGCGGTGCTGCTTATCACATTCATTTTGATAAACTTTTTTGCCATTGCGAGGAATATATTTCCAAAGGCTAATAGAAACTGCAATGCTATAGGATGTTGAAGCCGAGCCTGATGTCGATTTCGAGCCCGTTTATCGCCTGACTGAGAAGGTTGAGATCAAGACAAATGAGGAGCTCGAGGAGCAAGTTTTCAAGATGCGTGCGAAGCTTTTCAAGTTTGATACCGACTCTAGAGAGTGGAAAGAGCGTGGAACCGGCGATGTGAGACTGTTGAAGCACAAGGAGAACCACAAGACTCGCTTGGTTATGCGAAGAGATAAGACTCACAAAGTTTGCGCGAACCACTACAGTACGTTCCTTTCCTTCTTTGCGGATTGGAACCAGGAAGGATGATATACTGACAATATGCTCGTTCTAGTCGTCCCTGATATGAAGTTGTCTCCAAACGTTGGAAGTGATCGAAGCTGGGTGTGGAATGCTGCCGCGGACGTCAGCGAAGGTGAACCCGAGGCGCAGACTTTGGCCATTCGTTTTGCCAATAGTGAAAGTGAGTTGATAGTTTTACTTAAAGAGGGAAAAAAGTGGATAGACTGAGGCTAACGATACCGGTCTGTAGACGCCAATCTCTTCAAGGAGGCATTCGAGAAAGCTCAGGAGGAAAACGAAAAACTTTTCAACAAACAGTAAACGTACATGATTCTCTCCTGAAGTCGACCAGGAACGGTTGCCCGCCATGGCGAAACCCACAGAGATGAGATAGCTCCCCACAGTGATCTACACTAATTTGCTCCATCCCCGTCCCTACGCCCAGATCTATTGAAAACAAACTCATCCCGATGCACTTACCCCATCCCCTTTGAGTTCCCTATTGCGACCATCGAGCTCTGTGGCTATTTTCTATCAAACCCCCGTTTGGCTCCAGGGAGAGCGGTTCGGATCGATGGTGAATACCAGATGATGAGTACTACGAATAGCTCCGGTCCTGGGCCCTCCGCCCTTATTTTGTAGGGAAACGAAAAAAAAAAAACACCAGTAGTACATAGAGCACTCAGTTGATAGCACCCCAATATCAAGTGAATTTTGACAAGTATTGAATTTTATTTTGTATGGTTTGTTGTTTGATGTTGAAGATGTTTGCTGGACAGCTCCGCATTCTAATATTTAACTATTTAACTCTGCTTGGAGAGTGGGTTGCTGATAACCACCCCAAAGTCGCATCCCACTCTAGATGGCGGGCGGCAACTCTCCTCTTACAATGAAATGAGACGAAACCCATATCATCCATCTCATCTCATCTCTTAATCTCTCAATCAGCACTCTGTCTAGAGATCTCTATTCCTCCCTCTGACATTGTCTGTGTACAATCACCCAGAGAACTCACCTGGCCAACAACGGCGTTCCCCGCAACACAACTTCGCGACCACCAACACTTCTGCAAGTGTTCCAGAAACAGTCAATAACACAACCAGGAAGGATGCCTGATGTAAGCTTCCGGAGCCCTCTGGACCTCATGTTGCACTCTTGCAAAAACAGCTTCTTTCATCATCGCGTCACCATCCCTTCACACTCAACCTCTGTCGCACCTATCACGCAGCTCTTCAGGTGAACGCCAATACTAATGCCGAGACACACGCAGGTCAAACGCACTGTCAAGCTCATTACAGAGCAGGCCCCGACGTATGTATTCTTACCTCCCTGTTGTTGTCGACCTGTGTTGCTGGAACTCGTCCACCGCCGTGCATGCGGTTTTTACCCCGCCCCGCGGGTTCCCCCTTTCGAAACGGAATGAGAGAATATGTACCACATAAATCTCGCTCTATATACATGGATGCTGCTGCTGTGCTGCTAAGCTATGTCCGAAAAGGAGTACTGTGCGTTGGGACCCGTGCTGATTGGGTATATCATGAGATAGGGAGAAATCCTCTGAATTTGACGGCTTGCCGGTCCGTCGGTGGTCCGTTGAAGTTTATCTCCTGAACGAGCATGGAGAACAGGTTCCTGCGACTCTTTTTAGTGAAGTGACTTATACTCTTCACCCGAGTTTCGAAGACAGAGCTGTTCAAAGTGAGTTGCGCGTCTAATTCATGCTTTTTGGTACCCTAAGTTACCGGAAGACACGCGTGACATTTATATTGTATTGTAAGGGCTGGGGCCCTGCTAACTAGTTCTCTTCTGTTGCCAGCTTTCAAGGCTCCGCCGTTCAGAATTGAAGAAGAGGGATGGGGAGAGTTTGACATGTCCATTCGGCTTCTTGCGCCGGACAAGGAACATGTTATCGCTCATGATTTGAACTTCCAACAGAATAGATACGAGTCGAAGCACGTTCTTGTGAGTTATATTCTTTATATTCGATGCCACTGTTTCCGATATCTGGTCCCTTGGTCTCTAACAGTCGGATATCAGACCTTTAAGAACCCTAAGCCAGCCGTCCTCGCTGCCCTACGCGAATTTGGTCCCGTCCCAGGAGATGAAAATGGTCTGAAGTCGAAGCGTGGCCAGGATGATAGCTCAAAGAAAAAGAAACGCGTCGATAAGAATGTATGCCTTGATTGAAGCCTCTGTGGTATTGCAGTCAGATTTGGTGCTTCTGTCACTAACTATTATCTCTAGATTGATATGGAGAGGCTTGCCGATGGTTTACAGAAGCTTGGAGAGGATGATCTTCTTCAAGTTGTTCAGATGGTTCATGATCATAAGTCACCAGATTCATATACAAAGAATGATATTGAACGTAAGTATTATGCTTCAATATAACATCTATGCCTTACTAATTTCTACTGCACATATAGAGGGTGAATTCCATGTCGACCTGTATACCCTGCCCGACAGCCTTATCAAGATGCTCTGGGATTTCTCTCAGGAAAAGGGAGTTGTGTGAGCGAATATGCTTGCACCCCTATTTTAAATTAATATGCTAAAATCGAAATTCATTGGGAGATAACCAGCATTGTTAAATATGGGGAAAAGAACCAAAAGCTGGAGAAGAGAAAAAGAAAAGGGAAAAAAAAGTCCTGCAATTGCGTGTGCTGAAAATACAGATGTAAAATAGGCCATATCTCTTTGCTTCCGCCCACATCTTCGTGTCCTCTGCTGCCATTGGCCCCGCATATGGTCTTTCCTTTTACTCATAGCCTTGAGTTATTTTTCTCTCATCTTTTGGTCTGATTTTGCCACGGAGTACATTGGCGACAAGGTTCCACTTTCGTGTAATTCTGGCGATACATTCACTGATGGCATGAGATATTCTGGGTTGGGTCTCTTAATAATTGAATGGCATATGAAAGCACCGTTTAACCTTTTTCTTTCCTCTAATGCTACTCATTGTTTCAACCTTTACCCCACAAGCACATTTTTAACTATGTCACTATCAGTTGTGCCTACGGTTGGCAAAGCTTTGCCCAGGTACTCAGAGATGGGTGTGAACACAAGAGCATTGATCTTTGCTTGCAATTATAAGGAGTTATACTTTATACAGGTGTAGCATACAAGGATGCAGAATCTATTATATCCATGTCATATACTCCGTACATACACTCCCAAGACAGAGAGGACATCAGCGAAGGTTAGATGACTTTTTATCAAGCACAGCCATTAGGTAACTAAACATTAAGAGTGAAACTTCTGCAAAACATCCCAGTTAAATTCACCCTAGAGGTGGTTTAAGTAATATATTGGGCGTGGTGTGCAGGTTTCTATATCAGCATAGGCGGGAATCGTATCCACTAGTATTAGCACACTCGAGACGGTGTGTTGCAAAAGTGCATATTTTCACAGCAGAAGCTCTGATTATTTAGATTGGCGTGCATTTACCTAAAGAGGAGCAGTCAGAATGATATTGCGGTTGGATTGGGGGTCCCTCAAATCGTAATGACATGAAACATACCACATTTGTTGCACTTCATTGGGGGTTTGGTTCCGGGGTTGCCCTTTTCAGGCTCTCCCTTTCCAGGTTCTTCCTTTCCAGGTTCATTCTTTCCGGGCTCAAGTCCAGGAAGGGGCTTGCAGTACTTCGGGCATTGAATTGGGAAATCCAGGAGAGGGATCTCGAAGATTGGGGTCCGATCGACTTCCCAGACTCCAAGGTCCAGCTGCAGACTGGCACCGGCAGCGAGAGTTACACCAGTCTTAACATTGCTATCTGGGCACCAACCTCCCTCCTCTGAATTGTTTGGAAAATGTCAAGTTAGCCGGGAAACCAGAATAAACAAAATCCAGACATGGAAGAGTCAATAAACTTACTGAGACCAGCAGTAAGGTTGAGATCAATTGGGATGCCAAACTTGACGCCAGCTTCGATGCCAGCACCGCCAAGAATTTCAAAGCCCCAAGTAATCTTGGGTTCAGGAACAGTGGTGGTATCAAGGTCAATGTATCCATTGTTAAAGGTGACGTCCGACTTCGCCTCGATCTTGTCCAAGCCTACGACGCCGGACTTGCCATCGCCGATAAGGACGAGGGTCATTTTGCCGCCATTTGGAAGTTTGGCGGTGCATCCGAAGTTAACAGTGGCGCTGCCAGTGAACTTGACGTCGCCGTGGATCAACAAGCCAACCTTAGCACCAATGGACAGGATACCGGGGATCTCGATTCCGGTAAATGGAATAACCTTTTCGAAAATGGTCTGAGAGTACTTAATCTCCTTCTTGACGTTCACCAAGTCGAGTTCGAATTCAGCAGCGGTACTGAAATCCTTTGGCTCAATTTCGAGTTTCAATTCAGTAGTGAGGTAGTTTTCAACCTAGAAAATATGAGAATAGTCCACTACCATATAAGAAAGCATCATTACCTTCAGAGTTCCAGTAGTAAGGAAAGTTCCCTGCACGTAGCAGTTCTGACAGCTGAGCTCAATCTCGGCAGGGGATCTAGGAACATCATATCAGTGTCGTGCTTCAAGCATTCACGGGTGACACGTACCCAGGGCCCTTGTACAAAGTAACTTCAGTGTTTGGTTTGAAGATATTGATGGGAATGTTGACTGGCAGGCAAATATCGCCATCACCATCGATCACGTCAATTATATCCTTGATTCCGCCCTTGAAGCCAGCATCAAGGCCATCCTTGAATTTTTCAATAGCTTCGCCAATCCATCCAATGACACCCTTTGCTTGGAGAGAGAAGAGAGCTTGCGTGGACATCTTATAATGACCAAAGTCAATGTCGAAGGCGCCGGCAAATTGCTTCCAGGCGACCGCCTTGGCCTTGAGAGTAACACAAAGTTCTCCGGCATCGTTAATCACGTCAGTAATCCTAAAATAGAAATCAATATCGATACATAGATCATAGGCTGGTCGTCCTGAATTTTACCTGTACGCCTGGCGTTGTCCTTCGGGACCGCAACTAGCATGATTGGCAATCATCAGGAATTCTGCATCAGTTTTGGCGTTGATATAGTCCCACGACGTTATGGCAAATTCATAAGCAGCCTTCGATTTGAAAGTAAGGGACATTTCTCCATCGTCCCCCTTGCAGTCAACAGCAGAGGTCAAGTCTTCAAAAGTTTCCATCATGACGATAGGGAGGTTATCAGACGCATGAAGCGTCATATTTGCCAGGAAGAGTTTGCCGGAACCTTAAAGAATCAGCGAGTAGGCCATAATTAACAATTGACAAGCGCAGTGTCATACCGGCGAGGCCACCAAAGAGCATGTTAGCATTTTGCACTGGCTTAAAGCAAGAAAAGTCGGGCAAGGTGCGCTCGTTGAGGTTGTCTTGTGGTTCGAGGTCTGAGAGTTTGATAGGTCGTAAGAAATTGGGAGTCGAAGCTTCAATGAAGGCTTCTCCCTTCGGGGCGGCCACTGGGCCTGGAAAAGGAACGGCGGCAGTGGCAGCAGCCAACGCTGCCACAATAGTGGAAAAGAACGACGAGCGCATTTTCAAACAGCAATCCTGCTGTAAAAACGAATGACTACTTTGAAAAAAACAAAACGAATGACTTGGGCTGTGAGAGCTCGAAAGAAAGAGGATCACTAACCAGGGAGTGGTGACGAAGATTATATACTCATCTTTGAGCACCCAGCCCCTGACCCCTCAGTGACCCTAAGTCTCACGAAACGGAAAAAAAAAAGTCAGCTGAGGAAAGCAACGGCTGTTTCGTTTCTTGGTTCAAGTGTTGTGCTATTCCTCCCAGATATTCGCCCAGGCAGGAGTTCAAAGCATATTTGGCGCTAGTTCAGGCCACCCTAATGCAGCTCATCACGACTTCATGCAACGGCCTTGGAAGCTTGAAACCAGCGACTCCCTTGGCGCAACCGAGAAGTTCACGGAATCCAGCATCGTGACTCTTGCCGCTCCCTTCCTATTGGGTATTCAGTAGAGGACCCTTGTTTTTGGAATCAGGAGGGTTCATGGAAGAGACTTGTATGTACCCCGTATATTCTTCGCACTTCTGGGATGCGAAGGTGTCCGAAGTCCAACACGTGTTCCCGCATCCAGCCCGGAAAAAAGAAAAGAAAGAAAGAGACAAGAGCATTTGATCGTCCGCTAAGGAGGACAATCCATTAGCTATTGGATACTCCAAACTTTGCAGTTTATGGCCCATCCACGAAGTGGAGCGAAGCGGCGCCGACTGCAAAGGGAATGTACCAGAAAAGAACTAGTTCACGACCGGATAAAACCCCGGACACGGACGGCGCTATGATGAAATAACTGATCTACGGAGTAGGGCGCCTTGCTCCATAACATGGCGACCTTTATGAGTCTCCATAATTGGACGTGACCGATTTCCGTACTCTGGCATAGGTGTACGTATATCCGGAGAAAAAAGAAGAGAAGAAAAGTTTCCCGTGCGAATCCTCCGTTCTTGACAAGTTCTGCGCTTGGTTCGACGGGGAGCGAGGCCGTAGTCAGGGGTAAACTCAAAAGATGCTTTGGTAAAACACCTTGTTTCTGCTATTTTAGCGTTTCTCCAGGATAGAAGAGCAAGGCTGAACTGTTGAATCCTTGTGAATGTTCATGTGAAAGACGGATGTGATGCTGAATCATGAGGGAGAAGAGGCGTTGACAGTCACCATCCTACATAATAGGACTTAGAAATAAAGCAACGTAAACTTGGATTCATGATAAGTAGATGCCTTTCATGCAGCTGGAGGAGCTGTCGAGAGCCTTGTTGGCGACCAGCAGACGAGGTTAGCTCGACGACGGCGAGGTCGACCGTCGAAGGATTCGATTGAACTACTCCGTTAACTAGCGCAACCGAGGTGGAACTGTTACCGTGGACATGCTAGCGCCGTTCCGAGCTAGTTAGTGAGTTAGCTACGCTAAACTGTCTTGGGTAACTACTTAGTTAGCAGGCCTGGAACGATAAGATAAGATCCGATGACTAACTGCGCTTGCCAGGGATCCGCTGCGACCACGGTCTTCAGCGCAGAGAAAAACATGACGAGGGCGATCGCAAAGCCCGAGAACATTGCTGGAGGCTCACTGTGAGAAGGGGTCTGAGATGTCGTTATACTTCGATGTGGTGTCCATTTTGACCGCCCCGCTTGAGGTAGGCGGTTCATTGAAATCGCGAATATACAACTCCCGTCTGAAATCATCTCCGCCTCAAATATATGCTCTCATCACCGAAGTAACGAAATGGAACGCAGTATTGAAGGAAGTGGTGGACAGTTCGGATATTCTTGCACATGAGCCGAAGGTGGGTTCTGTTTGCTTTCTTCTCCGTTTCCCCGACAGATTTCGGCGGATAAGCGATCCAAGCTGAAACCAATGCTCGAAAACGGCGAAAGTACGGAGAAGTCTAACCAATGCGACTTAGGCAAAATAGCTCACTCCACTTCTCTCACTTCTCCTAACCCATGATCTCCTCCTATCTAAAAGGGGAATCGCCTCTCCCTCCAACCATCCCCTCCGTCTCGCAGTTGAACGACACAAGACACGATTGAACGCAGAGTTCACCAGGATTCGCATACGTCGTGGTTGCGCTTCCGTAGAACAGTTACGCTCAGCTATAGAAACGGCAACAAATCGAGATGCAGGGGACAAGGCGCTCCCCAGTCCCCGATGGGTTCGCATCAACAATGCCCGCACCACCCTGGAGCAAGAGTTGAACACCACCTTTGCCGGCTACACCCCTGTTACATCCCTTCACGGGCTCTCGACATCGACGACCAGGGCATATTATGCTGACAAGCATATTCCAGACCTGATTGCCGTCGCATCCACGTCGCAATTGCTCTCGACTCCGGCGTATAAGCAAGGAAAGATCATCCTCCAGGACAAGGCTTCCTGTTTCCCAGCGTACTTATTGCTCGGAGATCAGGCAGCTTCTTGGAGTGGAGATCTAATAGACGGCTGTGCCGCCCCGGGAAACAAAACAACCCATTTAGCGTCATTGTTATCTGCGGCTGGCCGAAAGGGGGCCAAAATATATTCCCTTGATGCGTCACCTACCAGATCAAAAATTCTCCAGAAGATGGTTGGAATCGCAGGAGTAGATGATCGGGTCACTGTCCTTGCGGGCCAGGATTTCCTGGCTTTGGATCCTGAAGACCCTCGATTCAAGAACGTCACGGGTCTTCTTCTCGACCCAAGCTGTTCGGGCAGTGGTATTGTAAAGCGTGAGGACGTCCCTCGGCTAGATTTACCGGAGCCAAAGTCTCAAAACAGCCGGGGGTTTGTGAATAGTGGCCCCAACAGCCGCAAGAGAAAACGCAAGCCAGGTCCTCCAGAGGCTTCGACCTCGGAATCGCCAGCGCCGGACACCTTTGAAAACGAGGCTGTGGGCGGAGAAGTTGATATTTCCCGTCTCACCAAGCTTTCAAATCTCCAGGCCCAAATTATCGAACATGCGTTTAAATTCCCATGTGCTACGCGGATCACCTACAGCACCTGCTCTATACACGCCCAGGAAAATGAAAACGTAGTCTATCGTGCCCTACAGTCTTCTGTCGCTAGGGAACGGCAATGGAAAATCTTGCCAAGATCAGAACAGGCTGAAGGGCTGAAAAATTGGCCTCATCGAGGATGGCTGAAACGTGAACATAAACCTGTCGACGGAGAGGAGACATGGGAGTTAACAGACATGGAGAGTGAGGCCTGTTTGAGATGTTCCGCCAGAGATGTAGAGGGTACCGGTGGATTTTTCGTGGCAGGGTTTGTGAGAGAGCAAAATTCAACATCAAACAGTTCGAAAGGGGAGGTAACAGAGGATGGAGATAGTGATGGCTCTGATGAAACCTGGCATGGCTTTGATAGTGACTAGTTCTGAATCCTCGAAGAAAATTCGTTTAATGAAAACAGTTGGGATATCATGTCCAGCCAAAAGTCCAGAAACATGGAGTAAATATCTCCTCTATCAACCAGCCAACAGTGCTCCGTATGTACGCGATTGATTTCTGTTTCATGGAAACTTCAAGTCCATAATGGATACGGAGTAATAAGTTACCAATTGGAAGTGTTCACCCAATCCCTGATAATCGGAGCACCTGGTAAGAGATATTTCGCTAACCACGTTGGGCATCATCTTTTTGTTTCAGATCGTAGGTTACGCAACTCTCGGGTCTCAGCATACCGATCTCCTCAAGTGTCTGTGCGAGAATCCACCAGCTTGCCCAGAGGTAGCTCAGAGGAGAACCCCCTAACCTTAAGGATCGTATTATTTTCAAGACAAGTGATCTATTATTGGCAAAAAGAAAGGAGATACGTAACAGCTGCCAAGGAGGCTGAGGAGCGGAAGACATACCAGAAAGACATTTGGCATAAAGAAGGAATTAATAGTAATACAGAGTCCAAAGCAAACATGCAGAAGCCCAAAAAGGGATTAAAAAAAAAAAAAAAAAAAATCCTGCCATCAGCCATCAAGAGATTTTTCTTGCTGTATATCAGTTTACCGCTCATTCCAATTCCCAAAAAATCACCTGAAAAAGATCCGCCTCCAATATACCCTCCCAAGACCAATCTAAGGGATGTACGTGTGCTAGAACTCCAGGATAAAAAAAAAAAAAGCTCATTAGAAAGAAAAAGGCAAAATTAACGTAGATGTCCGGAGCAATTGACCGGCTTTATTCATACGCCGTGTCCAGCAGCGTTGTAGGACATTAAATCAACTTATTGTTTGGTTCACGTCATTTCGGAGTCTATGGAAATTGCGAAAAGAAAGAAAAGAGTGAGACGAAAGAAAGCAGAGTCGTAAATCAGAGAACACGATGTCTATAGAGAGTTAGTGTTCCTTGTTTCCCATAGCCCGCGAGGATTTGACCGGAAGACATACTGCATCAGAAGAGCTTCAAGGCTAGACGAGCTGCAATCGCGCCCGTCAGGAAGCTGCCGGAAAATATCCACTATGGTCGCAAAGACATCGCCGCCACGGTAAGCAAGCAGAGCAGGAGCTTCGATGTGGTCCATTTCCGCAATTTCGTGGTGTAGTTTAACGAATCGTGTCGTAGCATGTTTGCGTGCGACTGTGTTTAGACAATCCTCAACGATAGAACTTTCGGACAACTACAACGTTTCGACAAGAACCTGTTAGAATACACTGTCGTCGGACTTGAAGGGAGACATGGAAATGCAATTCACCAACCTCAGGATCATATATGCAGACTACGACAACGGTGTCTGCCGTGACTCTCTCCACGGCATCAAGGTATCCATTTGCGCCGACAACTTCGACAGATCCGTATCTTCTCTTGCTCGGACTCGAACGTCTCATGTTCTTATTTTGAAGTTCGCGCATGCGCGCCTCTCGCCACTCTCGCATGAACTTTTCATCGTCGCTTTCCTCGGGGGTCTGAGGGGCCGATGGACTCGCTTTTTCCTGGTGAATAGCTTCTGGTTTGTTGTAGGACGGCTGGTAATCGATGCCGGCGGCGCTCATCAAAGTACGACGGAATGATCTCTTCTTTGCGCGCTCATAAGATTGCGCGTCGGCAATGACACCCTTAGGACCGGTGTTCGCGTCGAACCATGTTTTGGGGACATGATAAGCGGCTGGCTGCGAGGTGATCATGTTGTAATCGCTGTCGTCGGCGTCGGAGTCGGAAGGGATGTACTTTAGTCTGGAAGTTCTCTTTTCGCGTCGTGATACCTCTTCCTCTTCGTCTTCTGAGGGAGAGGAATGGAGATCTTCGGTCTTGAGGCGGTCTTCGGGATGGCAGGTGGCTCGATCCTCTTGACTGTTCAGAAGGCGGTTCACTTCGTCCTGGGCAGCTGACATGGTGAAAGAGACAGAAAGAAAAAAATTTCTCGGAGGTGAACCGGCAAACGGGGATTAGGATATATATGTCACTTGACGAATTCTGGGAAGAAAGGGTTCATGAAACAATGGACACGGCTGGGCGAGCCAACATTCCAGCCTGAAGAAGGGGGCAGTTCCGGAGGGGCGTGGAGTTTGTTTCAGGACCAATGAGCGGTCACGCCTCGCGCGTCTCTTGAGTCGCCGTGGCTGTTCTCGCAATTCGGGCCCGCGAAAAGGAATCTGAAAGGAAGAAGCAAAAGACTGGAGATCGTCATCTGTCGGACCAGTGTGGCCTCTCCTCGATGCCCATCCTGGCCAGATTCTCAAAAATAGTTGAGGCCTGCCGGTCCTTTCGCCCCGTTAGCGCCACTCAGGGGCCCCTGTTTCAGGATCACAGACACAACAAAACGGCCAATTCCCACCACCGGGCCCCATAAGGCGACGACCACGCTGGCCGACCATGGTTAGAGAAATTGAAAGAGTCCATCCACGCGAACTCCTTCCAGACGGCGCCAGAAGCACATGAAACCGCCATCGGTGGCGTGGCACGTTCTCAACATAAAACCAGCCTCACTAAAAACTCCACTCGCGATCGTCGTGACGGACATACCGAAGGACGATTGCATCGGTGGCTTTCGATCTGCTCGTAGGCGAGCCGCATCATGTATCATGTCGGGGAGCAAACAAGACGCACGTGTGGCATCATTCTTTGATTAACCTCGTGTTGAACGCGCGCCAGGTTAAGTGAGTCAACCCCTTGTCCTCCCCGGGCGACTCACTCAACTCGTCAAACATTAACGACATCCGCCGGGATGGGCGACAAGGGGAAAAACCCCACTGCGTCCAGCTGATATTGGAAGCTTCCGAGACAAGCGCAGGCCATAACTACTATTTAATACTAACTATGTGACTCCTTTCATGCCTAGTTTTGCTTTCCGTCAACCTGACGCCCGTTGACATGTCTCCATTGCCAATTAACTTGACATCGATCCCAGGGACGCGTTCTGCTCAACTGCTGTGCAAAAGACAACCCTTCCCGCCACTGCATTCGGGCTAACCATTAGCAACCCCAACATGATGATCTTACGGTAACGGAGCATCCGCGTCTGGTCTCTTGTCGATCAGATCAATTTCAACTGCCTTCAATCCCTTGACATCCTCTGAACAACTCAGTCTCCCCGGTCAATGCTCCCGCTCGACAAGAATATTCCCTCTCCCTCTCATCTCAAGGTCCTACAAAGTCATGGCCCGTGTTTTCGGACCGGCCTTTAATTCAGCAGATCCCTTCTGCATACTATTAGGTATCTGCCACGTTTGTGCCCACAGATCTACCCCCATTTCCTTCCCAAAAAAACAAATTTAAAAAAAAAAAAAAAAAAAAAAAAAAGAAAGAAAGAAAGAAAAAGACAAAGGAAACAATGGTCAGATTGCACGTTACAGCTCTCTAGATCTATAGAAGGATCAAAGAACAGGGATAGCCATGACAGCATGATTCCCTGACAATTTTATAGCTCTGTCACCATGAAGTGATTGCGTGCAGAATCTCCACTCTCCAAGCACAATAGGGGCGCAGCTTCGCAGGCATGATCACTCTTTAACATGTAAGGGAAAAGGAAGAGATCCATCAAAGTATGTGATTTTGAAAGGTACCAATGCTGCCTTCATAAGGGGCTTTTATTCGCAGGAGTCTATTGTTGGATCTTGCGCTGGCCGAGTTGTGTCCACAAAGTATGGAAGCTAGCAGGTAAAAAGCTATTAGCTATTAATAGAATGTAGTCAGGCATTGCGTAGTTGCAACATGAAGTGTGTTTATCGCTTGTGAAATGTTGCTTAACGCTCAGTTCAAGTCCCATAAAACTCCGCCAAGTGCTGTGCAGATTTACTCTCGCTCCCGAATGCGAATAATTTAAAAAAAAAAAAAAGGTAAAAAAGAAAAGTTCTGAACACCGAATGTTTACCAAGGCACTGGTATACTCTCCCAATTTTTTTCTTCCCGTCTATTTGCCGATTCAAAGTCACGCTTCATCAGAAACATGCGTCTCTGTCCGCAAAAGCCTCCTGGCGTAGCTTTGCTTTCGACCATCTGAAATGCTCCTCCCGTTCCTGGTCCGTCCACATTGTTCACCCATGATCTTTGCTTCACCAATTGACCTGGCTTATGCAAGCGTCGGGGATTGTATTCAGGGTAGCCGATCTTGCTGACGATATACTGTAGATTGCGGAATATGCGCTCATATCTCTTGAAAAACGGCAGCCAGTTCCACGTGTGCCGGGTGTACGACACCCTGATAAACGGGTTGACAAACACCCCTGTACCCTCGGAGACATTTGGCTCGCCAAAGGCATCCTCCAAATCTGAAAAGATTAGACAACATTCGGCAGCCTCCCAGAACGATTCGGGCTCGTAGCGAAAGCGTGCCGTCAACCAGGGAGAAAGTTGAGTAGATAAGCTCTGAAACTGTCCAGCCTCAAAGGCAACCATTCCCCCCCAACAGCTGCGAACAGGGACTGCATCCTTCTCGGCTAAGACGGCGTTTCGACTTTCGGCACTTCCTGTTGGTGGGAACCACGGGAAGAACATCAGCCCCATGCCATACCCATTGGTGTCTCTGACGACGAATGAGTCGTAGAACATCACGTTCGAGACGAAATCGATAGCGCATGCGGCACGATATCTGCTCTTATTCGTCGAGAACAATAGCTGTACGGCATCAGCTGGGGAGAAGAAGATGTCGTTCAGAAATAAAATTCGGTCGAATCTCATATTCGCGTGTTGGAATCCTGTTTGAGAATCAAGAGGTGTGTAGGTAGGGTCAAGAGGTCTGAGAGCGCGGTTCCGTACTTCAGCGAGGTATGCGATGCGTTTGATCCTCTTCTCACCGGAAGGTACAGTGCTGCTTGGTAGGTCTGACAAGGATAGGTTGTCCCCCGTGACGATGGAGGAATTACCTGCGGGTACTGTCAGCTAAGATACCACGATGAGAAGGGAGTGGAAAAGTTTGAGGAGCATGTGCTAACATCGTAGCCTTTCTTGGAATTCTCGAAGAGCATCGGACGTTCCAACGCCACTGTCATTCTCATAGACACTGACGAAAACATTCTCTTCTCCTAGGATATCAACCAATTCCCGCATCGCGTCCCCCCAAGCTCCACGGATCAGGTCTTCGTTTATGATGTTGGCTGCAATGAATATCTTCTCGCCGTTTGGATTCCCACGGCCCGGCCGCGCTGAACCAAGTATTCTCCGTTGCAGGGCATGATAATGCGCAGGAGGAGTCTGATAGGAGGGATATAGAATTGCTTCAACGACCGATATGCAAATGAATGCGCCGATGAGTAAGACCGTGAGCCTGAGGACGCGTCGAAAGCCGAATCTCTTCCGCGTGGTCTTGCGTGTTTTCAAGCACTGTTCGACCAGCGAGAAGGGCAAGCGAGAGTATCGAACGCAAGAGCCTAGCCAGGTCCTCGCGGGTCTGGGCTGGCGGAACAGACCTGGGTCGACATCGCCTGGAGACTTGGGGAGGAGCGTGAGGTGGTCATCAAGCTCAGGAAGGGTGTCGACCGACTGTCGTAGCGGAAGAAGCTCGAACGAGGAGGACTGAGGCATCTTGGGCTGTCTGCGAGAGTGCAACAGTCCTCCTGAGAAAGACACACGGAAAGGCAAAGGAAGCAGCCTGCTGGACATCCATCACCCGCAGGCGTCTCTTTGATGAATGGGAGATCATCGTTACGGGGACTCCTCCCGACCAACAACAGCGCCATGCGTAACATGTACAGTAATGTATGTACGGAGTAATGCGGCTTCATAGCCCAGGTGCAACTGGTTCGAGCTAAATTTTATTGTTCGTTGATTACACGTCAGCTTTGGGGGGCCGGAATGGAACCGGCAGCCTGCTGATCGACGTGGGCCTGGGCTATCCCCATTTGTGGATTGTGGTTCAGGGACTCCGTTTTGCTGCTTGAACTCCGGTTGCTCCCAAAACACTCAAAAGAGCTGTCTTGGGGGGTTTCAAAGGCTGTTAGCAAAGTGAATGTGGATGTGGCTCATGCTCAAGTTGGGAGTTGTCTTGGAAATGTCTGTTTGGAATTGCCTCACCATGGCACACAGTTCATCCAGACCACATCCCATCCCCTTTATCCAAACCCAACGTCCCGAGACTAGCTCTTGTGGGTTATAGCTTGATGGATTGGCCTGCAAATCCATCTCCAGGCTCCATGCTCCACAACCCAGAGCCAACAACCTCCGCAGCAACTTCACCACGAGAGGTACTCCATCCAAAAGGGTGTCACTTCGTTAGTTTCAAGTTCCCTCGTACGCACCCTGTCTCCCACCGCGGCCCTTCGGCTAGCCCAAGTCCGCCCTACTCAGCCTCAAACCACTCCTGCCGACCAATTAAGCCTTTTATGCATGCAATTCCGTTCTCCACACTGGAAAGCCACAGCAGCACAGCGGATTCACCATAGAATTGGTTGTTATATCATCGGCACGCCCTGTGCAGATGTATCCCCACAGGGGGTTCATCCCCAATCCATGGCGTTCAAAACGGTGCCGTATCAGAGAGGGAGACATATACGCAGGTAGAGAGCATCTTGTCTGTGAAGTTTGGTCGTAATGAGCCGAGATATGTCACAATTGGGACTATGCCCTTAATCGGTGGACTTGTGCGGCAATTGATGGACTGTCACATCCCGAAGCTCAAAACTAGCTCTGCATGGGAATACGGACTTTCGCCGTCGGCTTCTCTTTCTTGCCGAACAGGTAGTAGGCGCGCGCAATCCTCAAATCTATCGGTCGAAATACTCTGGACGCGCGGGGAAAGCACAAGCATCATTAACATTGCAAATATTAGGGAATAGAACGGCCTGGGCTATGGTGGACAATGCTCAAGAAACAGAGCTCGACGCAACAATTGAGTCAGTTACTTTAAAACACTTACAATGTCTTCAGAACAACAATCAAGGAAGCCAAAGGTCCTGGCCTTGAGCTATCCAGCCTACACCAACAAGACCTATCTGGAAGACTTCACCTCCAAATTCGAACTCCATGTCTGCTGGCCTTTCAAATATCAAGACGAGTTTTCACCCACCCAAGCTAACCCGCCAGTCAGGTCCTCAAATCTACGGACCGTGCCGGTGCGATTCCCGAGATCGCCCAACTGGCAGCCTCCTGCGGTCCGTTCGATGCGGTCATGGTCCGGATAGGAATCATTCCCTTTAAACCATTCGACGCCGAACTCTTCGGACCCTTGCTCCCACATCTCAAAATCGTCGCTGCGGCACCTGCCGGATTCAACGCTTTCGACGTCGACTGGATGACCAAGAATAACATCTGGTTTTGTAATACACGCAATGCAATTTCAGAAGCCACCGCGGATATGGCCATGTTTCTCATCTTGGCGACATTGAAGAACACAACAGTGGCAGAACGATCGGCAAGGGAAGGCAGATGGAGGGATTTGGTTGTTAATCCGTCGACGGATCCGAGGGGTCTGACGCTGGGTATTGTGGGAATGGGGAGTATCGGAAAGGTATGTGCAATTACCCCTTTTTCCCAAGCCCATGCGTCGTGGAATTCCCTACCAGATCATGAACAGCTACGTTTATGGAGGGGAAAAGAAAGGATGTTTAACCTTGACTGAGAATATCTCCCTTCTACGGAGAATCCAACGGTAGCTCTTGGCCAAAAAAGCGTTGGCATTCAACCTCAAGATCAGATATTACAGCCGGAAACGCCTGTCCCTGGACATTGAAGAGCAATATAATGCCTCATACTGCCCAACGCTGGACGATTTGCTTTCTACTTCCGACATCGTATCGATAAACTGCCCACTGAACGATGCGACGACAGGTCTCATAGGTCGAAAAGAATTTGCGAAAATGAAAGATGGTGCATACTTCGTCAACACGGCACGGGGTGAAGTGGTCGATGAAGGCGCACTGATCGAAGCTCTGGAGGCTGGAAAGGTGAAAATGGCAGGACTAGATGTGTTTGAGGGGGAGCCGACGATCAAGTATGTATTCCCCCCTTCTTCTCTTCTCTTGTTCTTTAATATCTTCCCACCCGGCCGCCAAAGGTAGCTGCATCCCAATATGGAGCTATTGTGAGTTTCTTATGATATTGAGCGGATAAGCCACATACTGTTTATATATTCTTTTCATCTAATTTCCCTTTGCACAGTGAGTACTTCAGGACGAGTGAGAAATGTATCATTCAGCCCCACTTGGGAGGAAACACGACTGGAGCATGGATGCTTTCAGAACTGGAGTGCTTGGAAAATATCAAAGCTTGCTTGACCACCGGCGTTCCCGTCGCACCAGTGAATTGGGTAGAAAGGAGAAGCTGATGCTGGCTGCTTGAAGCCTTGATAGCTCATCCTTTCCTGTCTGTAGGTATTGCGGACCAGATGGTGATTTCTACATATATACTATAAAGATGTGGCTAGTATATATATATGAATATTGAGAAATAGGATGGAACACTCGCAACCGCAACCTAAACAGATATCAACGATAATGTGCAATGCTATCGGGGAGTTGGGAAATATCCAGCACCCGCAATCTCCGGATCCCGATTTTCTAGGCCTGGGAGACGGAAAGAGGAATACGCAAAATTCCTTCAGCTCTTACAAATCTAGAGGATAAATACGTAAACCCACATAGTATCCAAAACAACATGACTGGAGGCTGTGGTAACGGGAGCTGCTGATTGGGACGATGTAAATGATATAGCCCATGATGAGTACATGACCCAGCAAGGTGTGGCTATCTCCGTACATATGAACCAAAAGAAAGGAAAAAAAGAAAAAATAGACCAAAAATTTTTAAAATTTTAACAATATCAAAACTGCTTTGTCACCCCAAACGTAACCACCACATACATACACACGCACCTTTCTCACACTCTGGGCCTAAATACATATAATAGGAAGAATTAAAAAAGATTTATGACGGCCCAGCTCAACAACCCAACCACGTGATGTTTCTGGGCCAAGAAGGGAAGAAAGAGAAAAAAAAAAAAAAAAAAAAAAAAAAAGGGAAAGGTGTAGACAAAGGTGAATGATAAAGAGCACCCTGAAAAATCATACAGAAAAGGGCGGCTTGGTCGGAACCAGCCATGGAAGGAGAGGAAATGAAAAAAACACCAACAAAGGGGGAATAATGAACTGATTGCAGGAACAGGGCGGGCGGGAAAGAGGGAGGAAAAAGGTTCGACCGGTGGGGGCGAGAATAAAGGTTAGTACCTAAAGGATGAGAAAAAGATTGGTATGAAGCGCATTATCGTTCCCGACCCGCCAAAGGGAAAAGAAAAGGGATAAAAGGAAACACCAACGGAAAAAAAAAAGGGAAATTTCATGGCCGACGGGGCCAAATGCGATACAAAGCTGGAAAACAAGGGAACAAGGATTCGGTACATGTAAATCAAAAAAGATGAGGAAGAACCGTCTGCAAAGCCGCTGAGGGTTTTAGGTAGAAAAAGCCATGTATCAATCATCAACCCAACCCAACGATCAATTAAGAGCCAAAAAAATGTGCGATATAATTTCAAAACTTCCTATGTCTGCTCCAATATATTGGAAGCACACTTTTCGCAAATTCTCCTTCACCCACTTTTTCGGGTCTTCTGCCGGTACAGTCAAATGGATTTGTGATATGGAGAGCCAACAAAATACTGTCATGTCGTCGTCGTGCTGTGTCGTTCACAACAGGCTCATAGGTCAGAACGAGCAACTGCTTCTTAACCGCGGAGGCGCGCACAGATAACCAAGCCATCTTTACATCTCAAGGGTTTCAAAAAGGAAGTCTCGTATGGCAATAATGTAATGTACGGATAGCGAAATGTAGAGAGGAAGCGACGGTCAAATGATGAACTGGTTATTGTACAAGGAGGGGCCTTGACTGTTTCGAGGATATACGCTGGCAGCTGATGGCGACTTCGAAGTTCCAACCCGAGCTTGGGCCTTACCAAGCCCAGATTTTGAGCTAATTAACCGAGTGTAAGCGTGTAACTTGTTAAATTGATGGCTAAATGAAAACTCACAAGGGAATCCCAAGATCCTGTGCATAAACTTATTCCATCATTGCTCACGCCCAAGCAGCTCACGCGATTCTCGTGGCCGCTCAACGAGCCAACCTTATCACCTCGCAAAACGTCCCAGACCTAGATGACATGTTATAAATGCATGAATTTCGAAAAAGGAGCCTCTGGTAAAAGGCGCAACATACTTTGCATTCAAAATCATCATAACCTGCGAACAAAAGTCGTCCAGATACCGAGAAAGCAACAGATGTGATTCCACAGAGAACTTGATCGCTCTAAATAAATATGATGATTAGTTTCACGCAAGTTTTCATGGTATGTGATTGGAGTAAAACTGTGTAAGAAGAACTGCTTTGAATTTGACGGACCTGGTAAATGTTCAATTCGCGATCCGCCCGGATATCAAACAATCGGCAAGAAGTGTCGTCCGAGCCAGTTCCGAATGCATTGCCGTCCGGAAAAAATTGGATGGCGTTAATATCGGATTCGTGGCCGGAGAAGGTTTGAACGGCCTTGTCAACTCGGGTATCCCACAACTTGGCGAAGGCATCGCATGCGCCGGAAACGAAGATGTTATTGTTTGTCGGATTAATGCTGATGCTCATGACATCCCCAAGATGGTCGGCAAATTCGGTGACTTTTGTTCCCGACTCAATATCCCACAACATACACGTCATATCGCCGGAAGACGTGATGATTCGGCGGTCGTTGATGAATCTGCAACATGATAGATAACCTGAGTGACCGGACAATTCCCTGGCGACCCGGGTGGGGCCTTCTCGCGAAGAAAGGTTGTAGATTGAGCAAATGTTGTCAAGACCACCGCATGCGACGTAATTTCCACTGGGAGCGTAGGCGCAGGTCATAACCCAGGAAGAGCGAAGGGGAATAGCGTGAACTTTGTTTGTCGTGTATGCATCCCAAATTATGAGCTTCCCATCTTGAGAAGCAGAGACCAAGTGTCGGCGATCGGTCGACCAGTGCATAGCGTAGATTTTGGCGAGATGGCCTTTCAGATTTCGTCGAGGGCGCATGCCAATCCGCGGTAACGGATCCGTATTGTTCTGCGCAACTTGGCGAACTGGTATAGAGAAGAGAAGATGTTAACATCAGATGAACAAGGCTATCAGATTCCACGTTGGCGGTGTTGCCCCTTGACTCCGACAACCCGTCCATAGGAGTGACTCGAAACAAAACAATGAGATCAAAGAGGAAGCGCGAGGGAACAATTGCGAAAAAGGGAGGGCCTTACGGGTGGTATCGGCCAATTCATCTTTCCTTCGCTTGATTCGATCTTTTAAACCCTCTGCCTCGCGTCTGGCAGCCGTTATCTTCGCCTGCAATTGCTCGCTGTCCATGATCGGCGGCGATGTCAAGTGGCAACGAGGCGTAGAGCTGGATCAATTGGATGGAGATAGGAAGAGAGAAAGGGTCGATTGATGGTTGAATCTTGATCCAGGGGGGCCTTAATTTTCGTTGTTAAGATTGATGGTGCAGGAACGCGAGGACGATCGAGCCGGGGGGGTTGAACCGAAGCGGACTAGCTGTATGCCCACGGGGGGTTCCGGAGGGGCGCTCACTCTCACAGAAGTGGTGAGAGAGGATGAATGTCGTGAGCCTCTGCGTGCCTGACTCAATGATAGGTTGGAGACGAAGCGAGAAGGCCTTGATTGGAGAGTAAGGCAAGAATAGGTCAGTCCAAGTCCTCAGATTGGGGTCGTGGAAAGATGAGCAGTGTCACCAGAGGCGCAGTAATTGGTTGGGTGTGCAGTTATCCCCTTTTGGGGTTTCTGGTTAATAATACCAGTAAAAATAACCATACCGAATTAAGTTTCAGCTCGTGGTAACAGAGCCGAAAATACATTCATGTAACCATACGGCTCTGCTGTGGGGTCAGGTGGGCTTTCATCACGGACTCCAGGGGCACCAGACGTTTTCTCGAATGAAAATTCCACTCTGGGCGTTGCGGCTGGGGGGAAGATCTTCTCAAAAAGGTGGTTTGAAAGAAGACATGTAACGCTTATCCCTCGCAGCCGTTAAACATGCCTATCTTCTCCGCACCATGTCAGTTACTCTCAAGCAGAACACTTTTACTACATACGGAGGACAGGACAAAGGATGGACGGGAGCTTTGGCGAAAAACAGCCCCAGCGCTCCATACAAGTTACCCACTTCCCCTCGTTCATGGCCAATTGTTGCTCGTTGTTTCTTTTCTCCAGGCTGCACGTCATTATTTTACGCGGTACGGCTCCGTACAGAGCTGTTTGACATCCCATCGCTCGGGTCATATCCAGCATTCCGGAGCCCAGTCCTCCGTCGCTACTTTCAGGCTCTCAACCTCTGAGAGGGAATGAATTGGAAAGCCTAACTTTACATTATTAATGTGGCCTTGTGGGGTCCTGAGTTCCTCTCGAACCCTCGATCATCCATGGGGTTATCGGTCATCCTAGACTTCCAAGACATGCAAGCAACATGAAATTAATCAAAATAGCACTCCAGGCATTGCCCGTATCGATTATCAATGCTATCTCCTTCTTGTGCGGAACACAATCAACGCTTTGGACAGATGATGCATCCAGACTTTGGAGGCGATACCGTGCCCCTCGTTGACTCAGGCGGAGGGAGCGCTCAACGGCCCTATCAGATTCTCGAATTAACAGCTGAGGGGGTTATCTTTTTTCGTTCTTTGTGTGCCGTAACTTGTGCAACATGAGCTTGAGGCGGATTGGCCGACTGACGCCAACACAGCAATCACCCTCTCCGAAGCTTTTCTGCACAGAGATTCTCGGTCGAGTCCTGCTGATATCAGAGACAGAGAGGCTAAATAAGTGTTTCAATAATGAGTGGTTCGGAGGCAGTAATCCGGAGTGCCGAGGGGGTAATTTTTTTAGAGTGATTAGGCCGGAAGCTTTGACCAGCTGTATGTATCAACCGTACTCGACAGACCGATACACGCCTGTATGTTATTATGGCTTATTATGGGCGCCAAAGTAACCGGGTTTTGGCCACAGCGATTGGCTGCACGCATCCCGAGCAGGAGAATTGCCATCCAATAAAGCCGTCTGATCCAGGCTTGGCTCTAGGGAAATGACTGGCTGCGTGGGAATTTCAGCGTCAGAACGAGCGGAAGTTGGTTTGGACCCGAAAAGCCCCCCAAGCTCCCTCCCAGCACGCCAAGCGATCTCCCGCCCTCGAATGGATCTTCAGCCACACACGGAGGACTCGGTCCCCCAGGCATATGTATCACCGTTTTATATCCCGTCGATGTCTTAACAGCGGAACAAATGGGAGCAACCCCCTACATCCGCGCTGCGGACGAGGAAATTTACCAGTGTGGGTCGAACCGCAATAAGTTTCCTCGGAGAGCCTTGATTAATGCAAGTCATCGCAGATCACATCCCGATGGCGGGAGATGAACGAATCCTCCCAAGTACGTACGGAGTACTAATAATATTCATGAATACGGATTGCCCGTCGAAACACATCCATCAATCTTCAAAAAAAAAAAAGAAAAGAAAAGAAAAGAAAAAAGAGTGACACGGAGAGTTACACACAACTACCGACAAAGTTCTACTGATGAAACCTTTTGAAAGCTCGATAACGAGCACACGCGATTCCCGAATGAACGGAACCGTCATTCCATCAGATAACCAGAGAGTCTATGGCGGTTCTCGGACTCGGCAACTTCTTTCGTATCTGATTAACTAATATAGAGCAAAAGCTGCTCTGGACAGCCATTATGAAGCACCCCTTCGCCACGCACCTTGCCCCAGGATAACGTTTTTAGAAACAAGTCAACTTGCCAGCAAGGTTATGTGGTCAGGTTGCATGGAGGTTTTCAAGATGAGAAGGAATGTACACCAGAGTCATGCCAAAAAATTTGTGGCAAACCCGGCGTCTACCATGGCCCACGAAAGCTTTTGAGAAACCAGGATGTTGCTGTCATCTGTCTCAATTCATCACTCGAAGCTCCCATTATGCAAATGCTGTTGTGTAATTGCCTACATACTATTGTGGTCTATGAGAAATAGAGCTCAGCGTCCGCTCGGCGAAGGTCACCATGTCATCAGGCACCCTTCCGTCCGACCCATTTGACCCTTGAATACGGTATGGTCTCTGGCACTATGCAGGTACCATAACGGAAAGGTAGGCTGGAGTACTCTGTAGTTTAGGCTGAAAATTCCTCTCTGAAAACGGGGTCAATGAGAGGAAATTTCTGTCCGAGTCATAGAGGGCAACCCAATGCTCGTTTTAACATTTATGGTGGCGTGCCCAACATGGAGGGAGTAGAATCAGAAGATCATAGCAACTGGATAACGCGCACAAGGTCTCAGCAACTCGCAAGACAGCCCGAAACAAACCCCGTCCTTTCGTGCTGCAAGTGATCCCCCAGAGCGATAAGAAGCTTGCAAGACTTTCTCTAGCTAATTCCCCTGAGGTTCTCACTCCTCGACTTTTTGGTGATCGGTTGGTTTGCAGTCGCTGAGAGAGTTGGTTGGCCGGGTCTTGGCTTGGGGGCAAAAAGGTATCGGACCTCAGTCTTAGCGCAGCCTTTCCACCAGCGAAGTTCCCCCTGTAACACCATCCACGCTGTTCGAGGGTTTTGTGACAATCCTCACCGGGTTCTCCTCTTCAATCCCTAATCACATCATCTCCTCTATGTCTTTCTTCCCTCACCCCCTCTCTCTATTTGATATTCTTTCATTCTACGCCGATTTTTGAACCTTTCCTTCTTTTCCATTCCACTCCGCTCGTACCGCTTCTCACAGCCGCCAGTGCCTGATTCTTCGCCGCCGCGCCGCCGCCTCCTCCTCATTCTCCTCCGCTCGCTAAGCCGTCAACCCCCTAAACCTGCTGCTCATCTGCAACTTGAGACCTTGGTGGTGGCAGCAATCTATCATTATTCAAGTTTTTCGACTTCGACGACCTCGAGATTGCTTTTGGTGATCCGTGTCCTTTTTTCTCCTGTTTCAAGTTGCAGGCCAACCAGCCTCCCGCGCTCCATCTGATTACAGGCCCAACCTTTCGACAAGCCACCTCGTTGACATCGAACTTGTCAAAACATCTAGAGTCTTACCGATCCGCCTCCTTACTTTCAATAATATGCCCTAATACGGCCGAATCTGAATGTTCTATGCTTCTCGAAACCTGCTTTAACGCCAAGTTTGATTCAAGCCTCACGTTTTCTGGAACAATACCCCTGCAATCATCGACATAGTTTCATTAAGATCTTTCTTCTGTGGTTACTCTAGAGTGCCTTTTTTTGCGTCCCGGTTCTTGCTAAGCTTCTCGCGTTTATCATCTGAGGTATTATCCTCTTGAGACCTAAATCCATTAAAGGTAAGATGTGCTGTGGGAGCCAGATGAGACATCTGAAGCTAAAATTCTTGCCGTATCTGCAGTTCACTAGACCACCCCTTCTAAACGATAGCCAGATCCTCCGTGACGATGCGGGAAGTCAACTTTAGTATCCCGAGCGTCAATAAGGCGGCTGTTAGCATCACCACAACTCTATATGACCGACGTGCACTCGACTGCACGTCAACGCTTCCGCTTATAAACTCTTTGAACCATCTAGCATATCTCACGACATCTTCCGCTCGTATTCGAGATATCCTCACTGTTGATGGAGGGATCGAGCGTTTAGTTTGTATCCTCAAAGAGGGACGCAGCAAAGATTTGATGGAAATGTGGAAGTGGAATCTTGCCTTTCAGTGTATCGTGAATATCGGTGTACGAGGCTCCGAGAATGTGCGAACAAGAGTTGTGGAGGCTGATATGGTCCCGGTGATTGCGACTATTCTCGATAACTATATCCAAGTTGTCGATAAGATACGAAGCGCGACCGACGCAGAACCCCAACGGAGTTCTGCTAAAGCCCACAAAGCTCAACCGCGTCCCCGGGAACAAGTCATCCGCTCGTCCTTGGACCGCTCAGCGGCTTCCATTTCAGAACATCGCACGACTCGGCGGCAAGCACCCCCACCATCAATAGAAATACCTCATCCGTTTTCCCAAGACGCCCGTCAACCCGACGCGGGTGCCATGGAAATCACTCCTTCTCCGCAAATGGTTCTAACGTCTCCTCCGGAGCGAACCAGTTTCTCTCGTGAAACACATTCACACCGCACGCTTCAACCAGGTGGTCATCGCCACAGGATCATACAGCCTCTTGCAACGGCTGTTCCATCCATGGATACTACCGATGGCTTCGGTTTACGGCCGGTTCGCGATGCAGACCGATTGCCGTCACAGGTGCCCGGTTTACAAAACGGGCTTACCTCCCAACCGGACTCCCCGACCACTCCTCACACCGCTGTTGAAGCACAGTCAATCCCACAATTCACCCCAAGAGCAAGACGGCGCCCCTCCGTTCGTCAACAGCGTTCAACATCTGGCGAATCTGACGATGGAAATACTGAAGATGTTGTTATGGGTGATGACTCTGCTGAGCCAAATGTTACTGAATCAATCGTCGGACTTCAAGCTGGGATGGAAATCGAAAGTGTCACGGACCAGGATGCTATCATGAATGATGGCACAGACTCTCACGGAATTGCGCTTCCGAATCCTTCGGAACAAGCTGATGCGGAGACATTTAATATCACACACCGATCCGTCCCTGACGGCAGCCTGATGAATCCGGCAGCACAACAAGCGAACGGTGCGATCACCCTTTCTCCTACCCGTACAGCCGTCGCTACGGCGACACCAGCGGCCAATCAAATACCATATCCTTATTACCTTCGTGACCGCACTGTGCCAAACGCCGTTTTAGCGGCGATGCCTCGGGATGAGGATGTGCTTATGGCACTCCAACTTTTAGCCTATGTTTCCAAATACTGTAGCTTGCGGTCGTATTTCCAGAATACGCATCTTGTCCCTAAATTAAAGATCGGAAAGGATATCCACCTTGTGGACGACCCTAGCGGCTTATTGGTGCCCCCGACAGAACCCACTGAGGAAACAGAGGAGTATTTGTTGCCTGACGATTTCAACATTTTTCCTCTTGTTGAGAAATTTACTGTCCGACATCACACCAAGGAAATGCAGTACTGGGCCTGCGTGGTGATGAGAAACCTTTGCAGAAAAGATGATTCACGTGGTGGCATCCGGCAGTGTGCTTATTATAAATGTGGGAAATGGGAGGAATTCCAAAGGCAGTTTGCCAAGTGCCGTCGCTGCCGGCGGACAAAGTACTGCAGCAAGGAATGCCAGAAGAACGCCTGGGTCTACCATCGGCACTGGTGCCACAGCTCACCCTAATCCATAGACAGCATGGTGTTCGTCCGCCTACTACTGTTCTTATCATATACCCTCTGGCTTATACATTCTACTTTGCATTTGCAATCTTGACATTGAACGGTGCGCTGGCATTGCGGTAATACCCCAACAATTAGTCCTTTCTCAAGTTTGATGTTTTCACTCAAGCCTGATACCATGACGAAAAGTCGCATTTCACGAGTCTCCTTTGTGATACCAATACATGCCACGATCAGTATAATGATATTACTGCAAACCCTGCGATTTTCCCCTATTACTCATATTGATTAGTAAATTTACACATTATTCCCCTCTGTGTGATTCCCAGATTGACTTCTGTTCAATTTTCTACTTCATCCTGGGAGGTCTCAAGTCCAATTCCCTCTTTTTACACCAAATTCCTACTACCACAATTTTCAAACGCATTTGGCTGATAGCGTTCAATCACACTCCCCAATAATTTTCATTTGTTTGTTTTTTTTTTCCCTTGTGTGCAGCTGTGCTTTCTGAAATTTGATACCTTAGTATATTACCACTCACATACTTGATACTTTTTTGTGTTCTAGTGAATTTACCCTGGTTGGTTTATGTCAAACTCTTGTCTGTTTTGAACATAATGCCTGCATAGTATTCTCATATGGGTAGATCGTAGGCTTTGGGCTTTGTTATACGTCAGTTGGGATATATCAAGCAAACTCTTGAGGCTATCTATGCGATCAGATATATATTTATATTTATTCCAATCTTACTTATACTCATTTGGATTGCCACCATACGTTGCCGCTAGTCTACTTGCAAGATGGTCGCGAGCCGTCATAATTTTATCGGCGTTGGGCCCGTAGCCGGCAATTGCATCTCTATGCTGCTCAACTAGCTTGCTAGGCACGGGAACAAGTTCCGTATCGTCCAGCGGATGGCAGAAATACGCCATGCTATATCTATCATCGCCGTGAGAAGAACCTGACTGCTGTTCCACTGGAAACACAACTCGATGAACGGTGGACTTCAACAGCCCGTTCGTCCAGTAGCTGAGCAAGTCGCCGATGTTGACCAGAATCGGCGGGAAGCTTGTCGTCGTGGACTCCTGCTGGGGTCGGATGGGAACAGGTGCCCATCCCCCCGTTGGAGTTTGGATTTCGAGGCCGGGCTGTCCGTCGCGTTGGAAGAGGAGGGTGATGCTTCCGTAGTCGCTGTGGGCCCCGGCCCGGACGTCAATGTTTTGCTGGAATGTGGAGGTCGAAGGGGATTGGATGGATGGGTAGTAGAGGAAGCGGAATGTCACACCCGAGGGACCTTTGGAGGAATCGTGTCGTGTGGTGAACCAATCCGATGGGATCTATGGATGGAGAGAGGTGGTGATTAGATTGGCGGGAAGACACCCCGAGTGGGGGGTACGTACTCCTAATCCCAACGCAAGAAGGGTGAGAATACGGTCACATGTCTTTCTGCATAGGTTCATGAAGCGAGATATCTCCGCTTCATGAGGGACGAGGGAGGAAGGGAGAGGTTGCTGCGCTTTATCATTCTTGAATTCGCCGAAGTTGAATGCTCTGTATTCGTGAGAGAAACGCCCTGGACGACTTTGCCAATGGAGAATAAGATTTTACATACTCCTTAAAATCACCTCTCTGCCAAGGTACCTGCAATCAGTCTTGTTGAAAATAGCTATTTGATTCATTTTAAGGGTCATACCTTTTGATGATTCGGATCTAAAGTCTCAACATGCATACCTGTCCAGCCCCTATTCTACGCCTGTTAAGCAATGAAGCGCAACGATGACAGGTCCGGGTTGATCTATACATTTGATCCGATTTTAACTTGCACTTTTTCTTCATGTGGAGATGCAAAAAATTTTCGCGCCTACGTTAAAGCTATCAGCGATGTATCTTGGAGATAGTACCTTTAAAGTGTAGGTGTTGGTATGCCATCGTCGAGTTTAGGCATGTACTGTACATCATTCTTGCATACACGAGTTAGAGTGTTAGGTAGATACCATTGCAAAAGCCGATTCCACATCCTCATCTGAAAAGTCACTGGTCACACTATCAACGTATAGAAATCCGTATTTGGTGGCTGCATCTATCATCGCTTTGCCCGTTTCCGGGCGGGTGTTCGAAATATCAATAATGGGGAGTTGAATGGGAAGCTTCGTCAATGGAGAGTACCGAGAAGGGTTTGCCATGGTGGTTCAACGGACGGTAAGGTAATATGAGAGTCCAACTCTGCAGCTGGATATGTATGATGTCGATACCCGTCCTCTTCGGACATTGCAGCCCTGGCTTGCCGATGGAGGGACAAAAGCTGACGGGCCCTTATCTTATCGGCTGTCCGTGCTTGGCTAACTAGTTATTCCCAAAAGGGTTTAGCCAACCAGTCCTCTTGGCGTTCCTGGTACCTCGCCCGAAGCCTCCTCTGCTTTTTGGTGCAAGTTTACACACTTGTATTTAGCTGTCTGCGGGTAGTGCTAGAGATGAACAATGGAATGAAAATGATGGTTCTGAAAGATGATATCTGCTTTCTAAGGAGTTTGCTAATCGGCTGTAGGCATTTTGAGTGCTCAGTTTCATATGCAAGTGTTGAGTGCAGCAAACTGGATGCGGGTGATGACTCAGCAGACTAGAGTGTCACAGGTGAAAGCTCACTGGCACTTCCCAAGCCTTACAGACAAAAGTCGCCTTTCTCCTGCACCTCTTCACCCAGTCCACCTGTTCAGAAGGTGTGCTTACTGGTTGAGCGTAGCTTTTCCAATCAACTTCTGGTCTCGTTCTTGTTCCTGGACCTAGTGGGCCCCAGACTTGATAACCCTACGGCGTCGTCAAGCCTCATCTTGACTTGGCCTCAATTCTGTGGGACGTTCATCTTAGCAAGCTCAAGGTGGTGAGAGCCCACTGACAGCAATATCAACAATGCCGAGTAAGTGCCATTCTAAACTATCCTGGGTGTTAACCTTTCACCGGGTCTTTCTAATAACCAATTCCTTGATTAGTCCGCGGTTTTGATGATTGGGCAACCAGTCGCATCCAGGCCTTGTCCCTCTCCGCCTTAAAGGGTGCCGTGATTGGTATCCATGCTTCTCACTACCTTGATCTTCATTTAAACCATCATGTTACCAAGGAACCTCTTCTGATTGCCCTGGGAGGATTCCCATTTGCGCTAAAGTCCCACATTGAAAGAGAACTCCAAGCTCTTAAGAATGCCGGAGTTACGTGCGTGTTTGTGTTCGATGGATTGGAAGTCGGCAAGCCGGAACCGGATATCATAGCTCAGAATCAGTCTACTCGCGCCCTAGAACAGGCCTGGGAATACTACGATCAGCAACAGGCGGAACAGGTGGTTGATGCATTCAGCAACGCGGGTAGGGATGCGTGATCAATCAAGAGATAGGGCGGTGGCTGATTTTGACCCTACAGGAAGCGCAAAGCCGGAATCACTTTATAAATTTCTCCAAAGAATTCTTCTTGCAGAGGGAATTGATTTTATTGTTGCGCCATATTCTGCCGCCCCTCAGGTAAATTAGGACTTTGCTTCTTGATTCCCAGGTTTGCTAGCTTACTTTTGGGTCTCTTTATAGCTAGCCTACCTTGAGAAAGGGCCGAACCGGCTTATTGATGCTGTCTTTGGACCGACAGAGCTCTTTTTATTCGATGTCGAGAAGGTTATCACGAAAGTTGATACAGATCTTTTCCACTTCAGTTGGATCACGAGGCAGACATGTGCCAATGATTTAAATCACCTGAGCAACGATCAATTCGTCGACTTCTGCCTGCTTCTCGGCTCTCCCTTTCTCCGAACCTTTCCTCCCTTCGAAAACCACCCGTATCCGGGGAAGGTACTGAACATTCGCGAAGCGCTGAACTTGTACAACAGCTCTGGGAGGAATGCTCTTGCTCTCTGTGCCCAATTCGAAGATGATCAACGAGATCTACAGTATGCAGATCGTTTTAAACGGGCGTTTATGACTGTAAAACATCACATTGTTATGGACACCGACGGCAAAGTAGGGCCAATGGACCCTGAGAATGCATCGTCCGACTTGCACGAACTGATTGGGCAACGACTCCCAGAGGAACTTTACTTTTATATTTCTAAAGGCATCTTAGGGCCAAATGTTCCCAATTGGCTAACATCTGGTGAAATTCCAATCACTCTCCCACTTGGCACGGAGGATTCCGACATCTATCGCCGCCTCGTATCCGATATGCTTACTCCTATCCGTACTCAATCTCTTTGTCTTCTCTCCAACTCGCTGCATCGGTTTTATCAGACAAAGGCTATTCATATTCGTCCTTGGTATGATAACAAAGCCGACCGAACTATCAACTTAAAGACCTTGCCATCGGTAAAAGAGACCATCGTGTCTTGGCGCCTTCGCAAAGCCCAGCTTCCTGATGGGTTACAGGAGCTTCAGGTAATTTCAATGACCCAATCTAAAGATGTGTTGCATACTCTTTGCGCTCTAACATGTCAATAGGGCTCATCTCCGCTTCTGACATCCTCTTTGGCGATCGTTAAAGATCCGGCCTTTGTTTCAAAGTCGTTCGCCGGTAAAGATGCTCCGGTAGGTTCTCGCCTGGGCTTTAATGTTCAACATGCTGACTGATTTAGCCACTTTCTTCAAAATCTGAAATTCTCGCCAATGTCACTTGGCGGTTCTTGCAGCTACGAGGCTACATTGACGAAAAGCACCAGCTCACAACATGGGGCAAAGCATTGGAAGCAGCTCTATCCTCGCTAAACCCATCTGAAAATCTAGAGGAACCCGCTTTTCTAGCGGTAGAAATGCTCCGTTTAGGAATTTTAAATTCAAAAGATGTTTTTGCGAACATTTCAGGGGGCCCGATGAGAGGCACAGGTAAGGTGAACCCGGGCATTTGGCTATTCAGTTGTACTGATGGAAAGGATCATTTGATAGCTGAGGAGAAATCGTTTAACCTGCTTGTTTCTCGCGTTGCATGTTTCGGCAAAATTCGCCACAAGTCCATTGGATATTCTGGTCCATTAAGTAGACAGCTTTTGTCTTTCCATTCGTTGATCTACGCAATTCGGTCGACTCTCCGCGACTTAATAGAAGTCATACTCGCTGGCTTGCTTCTTAGCGGAGAAGCGTGTCGGGATCGAAGTGATTTGTCCAGCTTGAGCCTCGAGTACGTTAATTCCGTTTGACTATCGTTGCCTGCACTGACAGTGTCACTAGCCTGCCATTTATTGATGACAATGACTGCGGCCTCGGGATCGCTGTGCGCACCTATCTGGACGACTTGCCGCAACAACCTGAGCCGACATCACAGTCCGTGCGGGCCGAGGTCAAGACGAAAGGAAAAGAATGGTTCCAGCATAGTCACAGTTTCGTTGAAAATTTAGACATGGCTTTCCAGATCTGGGATGCAGTAAGTTTTTCGCCTTAGTTCCGCGATTCATGTGCTGATAAGAGGCGCAGGTCTACAAAGTTACTCAGAACGCTCCTTCGAAAGAATTTAAGGATGCTAACTTATGGGAGGACACGAACAGGTGGCTTCAGGACCGAAGGTAACCTATTATTCTCATACACAACCTAACGCTCTTCCTGTACATTATCAGCTCCAATTATACTCTATAATGTACCATTTATGTATTCCGGCCTAGAGTAAAAGCTCCGCTGGCAACAAATATTGCTAAGATGTGAGAGACTCAAGGAACAGGGGAAAACAAATGGTGTGGGGGCGGACACACGTGTCGTAGGAAAGTGATCATAGCCATTGCTATGGGTCTGTAAAAATGGATTTATAGACCTCCAAAAGTCAAGAGGGAATCCGGATTTTTCCACAATGCTCTTTTGGCACTGGTCCTGGAGGAACGCTGGAGGTAACCCAGCCTTCTCACCAAGGGGAGGGCGAGGTAGGTGAGGCTTGGGTGAGGACACACCACCCAAGTGGGCTGGGAAACTGACAAGTCGGTTAAAGCATCCCAATGTTACTACGGTACTTAACAGGGTTCATAAGATGGGAAACATCAGTTCTCAGCCTTTCAATTCCGGGTCCTTCGCTCGGCGGTGCTAGAATTTTGCCAAGAAATTTTTCGAGGACTTCTCAACTTTTGGTAAAGGAAGTATCTCTAGCACTGTTCACTATCCTACACCCATTTCTACACACGAATTCCATGATTTAGGGACTTAGAGATGGATTAGGGTTGGGGGGCTAAGGGTGGTGATAGGGGTGATGAGTAAAGCATGCGATAGCAAAGTGATGCCACAAAGCTCGGCGGGCAGATCTGAGCTCCGCCGAAGGGTTTTTGTTAGGTAATCCAACTAGCACCTCGCTCACGTGACCCACATAGATTAGCCGAGATTCCCCTTTAGGTAGCTTAGTGAATGACAAGCATATGAGTCCTCCATCAGGTTATAGTCCTTTGTGCTGAAGAGCAAGCATATAAGATTGATTTACAGCTTAATTGGATATTGAAGCTTATGATCAACATCCTGAATGATTATTCTTGTGAATAATGAGATTTTATAAGCACTAAAGAGAGCATACATCAAAGTAGACATCTTCTATACATGCAAACCTCTGTAGCTTTCTGGCACTGAGCTGAAGAGCAAGTTGAACTCTGTAGCTTTCTGGCACTTAATCAGAAAGTGAGCAAAACATCTGCTAAACACATCTAGCAAGCAAATTAAGCATCTGGCAACACCAAAGCCATGATGAACCATACAGATGAACTGGAGCACTGAACCTCTGACTGAAAGGCTCCAATAAATCTCTCTACATCTTAAATCAAGCTTAGATGATTGAGTAGGCTTAGAGATAACTGGCCAAATGACAAGCAGAAGTCTAAAGAGAAGAGTGAACTTCAAATATTATACAGAATGATGCTGCAACAACAGAAAACAATATAATAGCTGATACAGCAAGTAAGTCTCTTATCAGGCCAAGTAAACACACCTGTAACAGTGCAGGAAAATCCAGAGCAAGAAGCTCAATAAAAAGAGAATCAAGAAATAGACTTTGAGAATAAACTAGAAGAATTTGTCAGTAATCTTATAGACATGAATACACAAACCAGCAAAGTGATCAATTAATTTATAAAGATCTTAAAAACAGTAAAGAAGTCTATAATTCTGGCTGGGGCCAGCAACTATCTAGCATGAAGTAAAGCTATTCTAAAGATAGCTCATCAAGTAGATACTGAGAAGATTATTCTGGAAAGACAAGAGATCTCACTATAGCCAGAGAACTTAAAGATTTCACAATACTAGAATATTTAGAATAAATAACTATATAATCTAATTGGCAGTACAATATCTGCACAAGTCAGTGAACATTTTAAGAAATCAGATAGTCTTAGTGCTTATAAACTCTGGAAAGCTGTAAGAACAGTCTTTCTGTGAGAATTATATGTGTGGATTGGTGTGACAATGAATCTATAGAAGAAATTGTATGTAGAAAAGAGTATGTAAGATAAAAGATCTGATATTGGCAGCTATATATAACTTCTAGACAAGATTACCACTGGCTTCCAACAAGAGATTCATACAGTGGCAGTCTTTTATGTGTGCTTGCAAGCATGTGACTTAGTATCTCACAAGAACACATGTACTTTCAACAGCTTACAAGTTCAGACTCTAAGCTTTTGTAGATATTGTTTATCTATATAAGAGATTTACAGATAAATTCTTACAGATTCTTTTCTCTTGTAAGTCTTGATCTCTTAAGACAGCTGTCTCATTAAAAATCTTTATAAGTAGAAAAATAAAATCTCTTGAGAAAAATAAAAATTTTCTTATAAGAAAAAGAGTACAGCTTTACTAAAGATATAATATCAACACAACTCTAATAATACAACACAACATAATAATATAAGAGAGCTCAATAATACAACAATATGTAGAGAGTCTCTATTGTTCTCACTAGCTCTATATTATTATTAGATAATAAGTACTAGCTTAAGAGAGAGCTTTCTCTTGCTTTTTCTTTCTCTTCTTTTCTTCTCTTTCTTCTCTAGCTTATATTATTATTATTAAGATAAGTGAACTCTTCAAGCACTGCTTTATGTGAGAGACAGACTTACAGAAGATCTCTAATAATTAGAAGAATTAAAAATAGCTTTATTCAGATATTCTGTATACTTAATCTTGTAGTCACAAGTTAGTAAGTTTACTCTTGATTGCATTTTTGCTTCATGTAGTTATGAAGTTTTGTCTTTATATAAGATTTGATTTGCAGAAAAACTAATACTTGCTAAAAGTTTCTGCAGATTTACAGTCTTTTTTTTTTCTCTTTTGTAAGTTATTACTGCTCTTCTCTTTCAGAAAAATCTCTATCTTTCTCTTTACAGAAGAAGTTGAGTCTTTAATAAGTAGTCTTGAGAATTTGAGAAGAATTTACAACTAATAATTTTAGAGTATTATTATTTCTTTCTCTTTCTCTTCTTTACTAGTTATTACTGCTCTCTCTTCTGCCAGCTCAAGCTATAAGTACTTCTTGTAAGCTGATATTTAATTCACATGCTAATGAAGTTAGAGTTCTGCTGCTCTATCTTTCTTTTCTGTAATTATTGCACCAGCTCTGACTGAAAATGTGAGTATTTTCTATCACATTTCAGTTCATGACTAACTCTCTCTAGATTATTGTTGTTATTTCTCCTGCTTCAGCAGGATTTGTGAGTGCTGTAGTTTTACAGAGTGTCTGAAATCATTCAGTATCTCTTTCACAAGACTGATAATAGTGATTTCAGATTATCTTCACTCAAATACTATTAGTTACTACTTTTACTGATGCTTTACAGGCTAATCTGATGATTCTTCCAGATCTCTCATTTTATACTAAGGTACAAGCTTTGTCTGTCTGTAAAAGAGCATGATGTTATAAGTCTATTCAAAAACCTGTACTTATTGTTGGTTTGAATAATTTAAATCAGTTAGCTGTTCATATCTAGCTTTGTAAGAGTATTCTTGTAACTCAAGCTGAGATTCAGCTGTCACCAGAACAGAAGTGCTTTATCTACAAGAAAGCTTAGCAAGACTATAGTAATATAGTCTTTGCAGAGTGCATCTCTACAAACTTGAGTTAAAAATATAATAACTGTCTATACTGTAAGCATCTTGCTTGCTCTTTTCAGCAGTAAGATTATAGATAGTTATTACAGATCTTTATAAAAGAAAGCTGGAGACTCTTATATAGTTCTTAACTTAGTTTTTTCTTCTTTTAAGATTAATTTGATTCAGTTCAGACTATATCTTTTCTCTCTCTAACTCATTTTCTAGCTTTACTATCTTCATTTATCTCTTTCACAAACCAGACTTGTCCAGATTTCTACTATAAAATTATTAAAGTAGCTTTCTTAATGAACAGATATTGCTTGCAGGCACTCATGTCTTGTTCTTCTTATTATTATAATTTTTCTAATGTATTCTGTACTACAGCTCACAACTCTCTTTCTTTAAGTTAATTATCTTACAGATCTGATACTTCTTTTTATTCTCATTTATCTTACAAACTTCATAATAAGATAAGCTATCAATTTCTTTACAGGTCTTGTACTTACAGAGCAGAAATACATGAAAAATATTATAAGTTTGCAGATCTGAAGGCAGCTTTAATTTATAGACTCACAAGTCTATCTTTTTTATAATTCTACAAGACCCATGTCTTAACAAATTTAATTTTTTATTAGGCTATACAGTCTTGATATTGTAAAGATCAAGCTATATCTTGTCTTCTATCTGGAAAGTCTTTATAGTGTACTTCTGATTATAATACTTCTTCTAGTAGACTTGTGCCTTTATAAGTAATTTCTTGATCTTCTTATAGAGTAATATTATTGTCTCCACCTGATTCTTTGAATTCTTGTACATATAGCTATACTTCTCAGAATCCAACAGATCTGTTCACAAATTCAACTCATATATCAGCTGAAAAGATAATTTCTGTATGAAGGCCTGCTGTAAGTTATTGTATGTAAACTCTGCTATTGATAACTACATCACTCAGTCATCTTGATTATAACTGATATAGCTTTGCAGGTACTGCTCTAGCATACTATTCAGTCTCTCAGTTTAACCATCAGTTTGTAAATGGAATACTGTACTCATTGCTCTCACAATCTTTAAGATATAAGTCAAATTATTTCAAAATTCACTTGCAAACAGAGATTCTCAATCTGTTACTATATTTACAGATAATCTGTATAATCTCACTATCTTGTGAACAAAAAGATGAGCTAATTTCTCTGATGTCAGCTTCTTTATTATAGAGATAAAGTGAGCCATCTTTATAAGCTGGTTCACTACAATCAGAATACAGTTAAACTGCATCTTCTTAAAATTCAGACTTACAGGAAGATCTGTAATAATATTCATGCTAATAGATTTTCAAGAGCAATTCAGAATTAGTAAGAGTGATAGTTCTTCTTGAGGTTTTCCACAAACTCTTCTTAAGTTCTGACAGACTCTACAGGCTTCACAACACTTCTTCACTAGTTCTCTTATTCTTGATTAAAAGTATTTGCAAGTTATAAGCTTGTATATTCTTGCTGTAGCAAAATACTCTGTAAGAG